ACACCCGTAAAACCCCCCCACTGAAACATAATCAAGCTACGCCAGGCCGGCCGCACGGAATAGATGGGCCTTCAGGGCTCGGCGAAAAAGGCGCAGGTCCGCAACTGTACGTAGGTCGGGGGGTAGGTCATTCCAGAGGGCAGGAGCTGCCACAGAGAAGGCTCTCCCCCTGGGGATCGCCAGCCAGCATTGTCTGGCCGACGGCACTCTAAGGAGGCCCTCTCTGTGGGAGCGGACTGGCCGAAGGGAGGTGTTTGGTAGGAGGCGTCTTGCAAATACCTAGGTCCATTGCCATGGAGCGCTTTAAAAGTTGTTACTAACACCTTGAAGCGCACCCGGAAGGCCACCGGCAGCCAGTGCAGCTCGCGCAGGAGAGGTGTTACATGGGAGCATCTAGAGGCCCCCAAAATCCCCCGCGCAGCCGCATTCTGAACTAGCTGGAGCCTCCGGGTGCACCTCAAGGGGNCCAGCAAGCGGGCCTGACCTAGGGAGGATTTTAGGTAGGGATGATTTTAAGAAAATTTTAATTGACACACAGCTTCCAATATTTGGCTTTTAATTTGGTTTTATGGGGGTTTTTTGTTTTTTGATGTATTTTGTTTGTATCTGTTTTAATATGCTGTGCACCGCCCTGAGTCCTACGGGAGAAGGGCGGTATATAAATTTATAAAATAAATAAAAATAAATAAAAAATTTATCAAGCCAGGCCCCTGTAGGTAAAAATCTTTCTGGCGCATTGATGGCTGGAGAAGAAGGAAGAAAAAAAGAGAGGAGGCTTCCTTCCAGAGCTTTTCTTGCCTGTTTCATCGAAGGGGTATTTTTACACATTAGCAAGCAAACCAACTATCTACCACTTTGCCAGACTTATAATGCTTCTCTTCTCTTTAGGTTAAGCTTGTTGCAGCTGGAAAGAACTAAATAGATATCGGGCATTGGCAGCTAATAGGTTATCCTTTTGTGACAAGGCTCAATTATAGAGAGTCCTCTATTTATGGCCAGAATTTCCCTTGATAAACAAGGCAGTTGTTAAGTGAATCACACCCAGTTTTATGACCCTTTTTTGCCCCAGTTGTTAAGCAAATCACTGCAGTGGTTATGTGAATTCCATGGTGGTTACATGATTCCGGCTTCTCCCATTGACTTTGTTGGAAGCCAGCTGGGAAGGTCTCAAATGGCGACCACATGGCCCCAGGACTCTGCAACCATCATAAATAGATGCTGATTGCCAAGCTCCAGAATTTGGGAACACAGTGACCATGGGGGTGTTGTATTGACCGTAAGTGCAAGGACCGGGTCGTAAGTGACTTTTGTCAATGCTGTTGTAACTTCCCACAGTTACTAAGCAAATGGTGGTAAGTCAAGGACTGCCTGTGCTCAGTATTTATTATTTTGGATTAGTTTTGCCTTCTAGCTCAGAGTTCCCCAACCTTTCCAGGTTGGCGACCCGGAGGGAAAGAGAAGAGCAGAGAAATGTGTGTGCACGGGCTTGTGCAAATGGGCGTGCGCATGTCGGCGCCGCCAGCATGCGCAAGTGGACTGTGCGCACCTACTGCGCTGCTGGCGGCAGCGCTGGTGTTTACGTGCCCGTGTAAGCGGGCCACTAGTGACCGTGTGCATGCGCAAACGGGCCGCTAGCAACCGTGTGACGCTGGTGGCGGTGCTAGCACTCCCGCACATGCGCAAATGAGGCCACTAGCATGAGTGTGGGGGGGGTGCACATATGCACGCACTCGCCAGCCATTCCCGTGGCCCGATGGCCAACAGGCCACGGCCCGGTACCGGGTCGTAGCCCACAGGTTGGAGATCCTTGTTCTAGCTCACTCTCCTTATGATTCCGAGAATGAATTAAAAGTTTTTGTTAGTGGTTTGCTCGCCAAACTTGTTTCAATTTTGTTTCTGAACATTTCGTTACCAGACTAGGTAACATCATCACGACCAACTGACTACATTGGCACACAAGACATTTTATAAGCTAAGGAAAATAGGACAAGAACATCCTGTTGATGATGTCACCTAGCCTGTTTCAGAAACTAAATTGAAACAAGCTTGGAGAGCAAACCACCGCCAAAATCTAAAACCCCCAAGCTACATGTATGTTCTGTTATTTCAATGAATTAAAAGTGTTGAAGTTCATAATGCTGGCTGTTCCACTTAAGATTTGAATGATTGGAGAAATGTCCATCGTTTTTAACCATTCGAACTGTAATCATGAAAATGGGAATGTTTATTTTAAGTTGCCAAAAGGCTTCTATTTGAAAGGAGCAAGAAAGCAGGCTCTTTCTTTCTTATGACATTTGCACACCATCCCAGAACATAAAACTTCTTTGGGCAGCTTAGAATAAGCAAACAAAAGAAGCAATTTCGTGTCAGACCATAAAAATCCAAGCTTAGCGTTAAAGCAAACAAACCGAAAACAAAAGGAATGGAATGCAGTGCCTGGATTCCCAAAGGATAGTCCTTTTGCACTGCAGCAGTTTGTTACAGTTTTCACATCTTGGTAGCCCCCAATTAAGGACCTTTCATGTTCTCGAGATCCCTCTTAGGAAGATCAGCATCACTTGTTCTCTAGAAAAATCCTGCAGATGAAGAAGAACTTAAAAGCCTCCTTACGCTGGAGAAGTTACAGGTTTCTATATCTTGGTAGGCCATGGTTTTTAGAATGCAGGAGATACCACTGAGAAGACACATCCAGTTTGGTGTAGTGGTTAAGGTATTTGGCTAGAAACTGGGAGGCTGTGAATTCTAGTCCCGCCTTAGGCATGAAAGCTGCCTGGGTGACTGTGGTGGGGAAAATAGGAGGAAGGAGTATTAGATGTGTTTGCTAACTTGAGTTATTATAAAAATAATAAGGTGGGATATAAATAAACAAACAAACAAATAAGGATCATTTTCACCAGCTGCTCGCTTCCCATCTTGACGGTTCCTGGGAATCTCTGCTGTCTCCTAAGGTGACCCAAGCTTGGGATTTGGATCCTGTTTCATCCCTTGAGATAGCACTTTCCTGTTTGCATTCCTCTGCACCCAGAATAATTCCTTGGATGGGAAGCGGATAGGATAATCCTACTGATGTAAATATTTGGCTTAGTTTTACTCAGGTCCCCAAGGGAATTTCTGCATCTTTAAATTAGAGTCCCACAGAAGGGAGAATGCGAGGGGAGGAAAGTAGTGACGTTTCCAGATTTGGCAATCACATTTTTTCAGAGCTGGCAATGGATCTGTCAGGTTGAAACAAAACAGGTTTGGCTTCAGGCAGGTATTACTGGCAAACCTGGGAGCAGTGGCCAGATTTGATATGTTGTTGAACATTGAGGATGAGACACAGATCAGGCTGCAGACAAAAGTGTTCAGATACAGATAATGAACCCATGTTTACAGTTCGCGGAGTACAGGTAGTCCTTGAGTTATGACCATAACGGAGTCTGCCCATCAAGGTCGTAAGTTACAATGGTCGTAAAGTGGGTCACTCCCATAACCGAATCAATTTTATGACCTTTTTTGCAGTGATTGTTAAGCAAACCAATGGTTCATTATGGGCCAAAAAGCAAACGTGAATGCCAGTTTTTGCCAAAAGTGGCCCACAATGAACAACTACTGCAAAAAAAAAAAAGTCATAAAATCCTGGCCCTGTAACTGTGGGACGTTGCAGATGGCTGTAAACTGAGGCCAGTTGCTGAGGGCCTGGAAGGAAGTGATGTGACCAAGAACGTCAGCACTGGGTTGTAAGGGAGGTCTGTTGTAACTTTGAAAGATTGTTAGGTGACTGGTCATAAATGGAAGATTACCTGTATCTTTTTTTATAGAGCCTCTTGTGCCTATACTATATAAGAGATAAACACACAGGCATCCTTTCCTGGAATTTTCTGGGCAAAGGTTACCGTAAGTTATTTTTTTTACATTTAACAATCAGCTACGAATGGACATCAGCCCAGAATGAGAATTATCTAATTTACTCAAATTGATATTGCTCCTGCTCTACAGCAGTGAGAATTTCTTTATAATTTGCTTCCCTGCCTTCAGTGCTGAATAGGTATACTGTAGGAGTCTTAATTTCAAAAGATTCCCCGCTGTTTGGAGTCCAGGTTTGTTTTCTCCATTCAGCCTGCCTCCCAGGGTTGTCGTGAGGGGGAAAAGACGAACAGCATGCTGGCTGGGGAATTCTGGGAGTTGAAGTCCAAGACATCTTCAAGCTACCAAGATCGAGAAACAGCTCACAGAAGTAGCCTTGAGCATCCTGGATGGAAGGCAGGATATTAGTATCAGAAGAAAAAAAATTGTGAAGAGGCTTCACAGTCTGAATATAGCTAATGAAATGACAGGACTGCACAAAATCCTGTATCGCTATGGTTGCATTCACACAAAATACTATGTTGGTTAGAACTTTTTTTGGGGGGGGGGGCTTAGCATGGTGAACGAATAAAGCCAAATTGCTAATGCAGAACATAGGCGTAATGTGTTGGCTGAATGCAGCTCATCTGATGCAGAAAAGGCTGCTGGGTGGGAGCTGTGTTTGTAATGGGAGGTGGGAATGAAGGCATGTCTCGATTGATGCTAGCTCTTTGAGGTGGTCCAGGCAAGAATCAGAACAATAAATCCCAGCTCTGTTTTTCCTGCCTTAACAGAATCTTGCAAGACTGGAAGTATTTCTCCCCTCCTTTCCTTGTAGGAAAGGATCCCTTATGAAATATTTCCCGCACTCTCCCTCCCTCCATGGACTGACTCATCTTTTGCATGACTATTATCAAGTCTGCAGCTCTTCCTCCCCTCTCCAAGGTCATTCTCACATCCCTTTACAAACACAGCTTGACATAGGACCTGATGCTGGAGTTGGGGCAAATGCACGACCTTGCCAGGATTTAGCCTTTTCAACTGGGTCTCAGCTCATCATGTTCCTTTCCGACTTTCTTTCCAGCAGTGGCACCGTCTCTCCGCGCACAACCCCCAGCAACTCTCCGTCCTTGAGAAAGCGCCTCTTGCAGCTGCCTACCCGACCGGCTCCAGAGCCACCCTCGGAGACCATGGTGGAAAAGGGTACCGATAACCCTGCCGAACGAGGCCCTCCAACACCGGCCCCTCAAGGCAACCCCATCAACTACCCGCTCAGTGGGCGCAGCTTTATGCGCAACAACAAGGTACGATTGGGGGAAGATCTGGAGGCAGGTAAAACAGCGGCGGAATGGCTTTCACGAGATCTGACCTTTGAGTTGCTTAGCTGATGTGGTTCTTTTTATTTTTTTATTTATATTTCATATTCCTAAACTGCCCATCTCCTTCAGAGGGAAGGGGCTCTGGGTGGCCTACAATATAATATAATATAACTGATACATAAAACAACATAGAAAAGTTAACTGTAAAATTAAAATTAAAAAAATTATGTATTTCTCACCACCTGGAGGCAGCCCTTTGAGATAAGCCAGGTCAGGAAAGAGCTCTGCAAGAAATACTGGAAGTCTCCTGTGTTGATATAGGCTATAATAATAACAGACTCCTGAACGGTTGACAGCATTTCCCTCTCTCTCTTACACAGTGTGCTGCCCCACTCCCCTCACACACACGCATGTACAGCAAGAGTTCTATAGGTCAGTGGTGGTGAACCTATGGCACGGGTGCCAGAGGTGGCACTCAGAGCCCTCTCTGTGGGCACGCACGCCGTCACGCCAGTCCTAGGCCTTCAGCTGGGTTTTATAAAACCTTTTCGCTTTAGGCCTCCACCGCCGTGTACAAAAAAAAAAGGTTCAATCAATCAGTCAATTTCAACTTCTCGCGGGGAAAAAAAAGATCTTGCAAAGTTGGAATTGATTGAACTTTTTAGTCCCACCCAGTCTGCCATTACCACTGCAGCCACGTCCACCCGACGATGCATAAGTGGGTTTTGGGCTGCACTTTGGGCACTTAGTCTCTAAAAGGTTCGCCATCACTGCTATAGGTGTTTATTCGAACCTCCCCTGTTGCACAGATCTGGATTCCAAGCTCAGTATAGCAAGAGTCACTGGGTAACCGGGTCCAATGGGCACACATGAAATCCAGGAAAGGAGTCCAGGAGTCAAATAGGCCAGGATGCACGGCACGAGCAAACAAGGCACAGAACTGGGCATGCTGCTCCAGCAACACTCAAGACCTCAGGGCGAGGTTAAGTAGGCAATGCTCGTGCAACTCTTCATGAGAGGTGAGGTTGCCTCCTCAGGAGTAATTAGCTGACCGGCGTTGTACCTGTCTCCTCTCTGCTCCATGTGTCCTTGGATTGGGAGGAGATGTGGACTCCAGCTCTTCCTCATTGGTAACAGGCAGCAGCTACTCCTGGTCCTTGCCTGGAGCCTCCTGGCCAACTTGCTGAAGCTGTAGCTCTCCTTTCTTAGCCCCGGCTGGGGCTGCTCCCTCAGGCTAGCATTCTCTTAGCCCCCGAACCTGGCCAATATTTGGCCCCAGACTTTCCTCTGCAGACTCAAACTCACCCGCCTCCTCTGAATCGAATCTGGAGATGAAAAGACTGGTTTCAAAATTACTTTGTCATCACCGATCTAACTGTGAACAGTCTAAACGTGGCAGTTTGCTAAACAAGAGCTACCTGTATTATAATCTATACCAGGGGTCGGCAGCCTTGGCTCTTTTATGACTCGTGGACTTCAACTCCCAGAATTCCTGAGCCAGCATGGCTCAGCATGGAAACCTCTCCCTTTCCCCTCAGCATGGCTGGCTCAGGAATTCTGGGAGTTGAAGTCCACCAGTCATAAAAGAGCCAAGGTTGCCTACCCCTGATCTATACTGATATAATAACATTTAATGTATTTCCTTTCCTTTCTTTCTTTTTCTGTTTTTTATTGTTTTTCTTCTGTTTTATTAAAAGATTTTTTTTTAATTATTACTCTGATTTTATCTGTGCTGATGGCCATTTCAGAGCAGAGGCTGAAGAATAGAGGCACTTTTTAGAGACTGAGCTAGGGCAGATGAAGTACCCACTCTGGTCAATTACTGTCCCATTCAAGATGTTGCCTCAAAAGTCCAAATTAATAAATTCACTACTTTGTTTAAGCCAGTTTTGCCAATCGGTCAGGTTTCAAAATAACTTTGGACATGTGTCCTTCCTGCGAAGAATTCTAACTTTTCTTTTCCTTTCTCTTTTTTTCAGAAAATGCAGAGCTGGTACAGTGTAAGTAGATGATGATGATGATATTTTTTTTATGCTGCCTTTTTTATAATATATAACTCAAAGCAGTGAATATACGGTACTTAATACACCTTCCTCTTCCTATTTTCCCAACAACAATCCTGTGAGGTGGGCTGGGCCGAGAGTGAGGGAGTGGCCCAAAGTCACCCAGCTTCACACCTATGGCTAAAATCATCATCTCCTGGTTTCTAGATCAGCACCTTCAGCGCTACATAAAGCTGGCTGTTTAATATTGTTTTTCTGTCAGAGGTTTTAAGAATAAAAACTGTTAGAAGCATAAAATATTTTCTGAAAAGCAGAAGTTATGATAATTCACCGATATTGCTTTGCAATATCCCCAATCCATTTTAGTTTCTAACTTAAAAGATTTTACTAAGGGAGCCCTATAGAATGATACCGTGACCGTATGTCCTTTATTATAAAGGACAGTCCTTTATTTCAGAAAGCTGGCCTTTAGATTTTAATTTAATTATTCATTTTTGCTCTTGATTTTCAAATATGGAAAAAATAAAGATCAAACCTGAAAGTGGGGCAAAAAAGGTGTATGTTCATAATTTTGCTTTATCCAAAGTTATCCAAAAATTAATGGCCACTGTACCTGTCAAGTTCAGTAGAATTCATTGTACTTTTTTTTCACTGGATGTTGTTAGTTTTCTTTGCATGTTTACCCAGAAACCTGGCTTCATTGCTGCTTATCACAGTTGTCTGAAAGAAATACAGCTCTGAATTTCAGGGCACATTTTTCCCCCCCAGGGCTTTGCAAGATAAGACAGGAAAAAAAAATAGAATTTATTTCCTTACTAGATTCCCACTAAGATTTACTGGAAATCCTAGGTGAATTGTTTGGGAACACTACCAATCCCCCAGCTTTTCTTTTAGGTTAACTTCAGTACTTTTGACATGGGTTGAAACCCAGTGTGCAAAAGGAGATTTAGAAATTCTTCTGCTGCTGGTGGTGGTGGTGATGACGACTTTATAAATTGATCTTCGTGCCCAGTTTAGATCTGAAACAGACCGTGGTAAATTGCATTTGAGATTGGAAGACTAGCTTTGAAGAACTGTCGCTCTGTGCCACTGAAAGGGTGTCCTGCCATTTTGTTTGCAAAGTGGATACTTAACTATTTAGTTTGGAAATTTGTCCTGGCGTCCGGTCAAATGATCGCCAAGGCAGCTTTCAGATTGTTTATATTAAACAATGAGAATGTGTTGCCTGGTGGAGTTTTGTTTGTTAGAAATCAAATCATATTTAAATAGACTAATCTGACTGAGCTGAAGGGGGGAAGCACCAACAGATAGTCCTTGTCTAGTGACTGCAGTTACAATGGTGAACTTAATGAACAATCATTGCACTGACAAATGTTTGTAGGTTTGTAAAGCCCAGGAAAGCTGAAAAAAGATTACAGGTAATCCTCAATGTACAACAGTTCATTTAGTGACTATTCAAAGTTACAACGGCATTGAAAAAAGTGACTTATGACCGTTTTCCATACTTAATGACAGTTGTGGCATCCCCATGCTCACGTGATCAAAATTCAGATGCTTGGTGACTGACTCATATTTATGACGGTTGCAGCGTCCCGGGGTCACATGATCATCTTCTGCGACCTTCTAATGAGCAAAGTCAATGGGGAAGCCAGATTCGCTTAACAACTGCAGTGATTCACTTAACAACTGTGGCAGGAAAGGTTGTAAAATGGGGCAAAACTTACTTAACAAAGGTCTCGCTTAACAATGGAAACTTTGGGCTCAATTGTGATCATAAGTCGAGGACTACCTATATAAGCACAGTCATGGCTTCATTTACTGACGGTTTTGGTTAAGGACTTACTTGCCAGTCCGATTGTGGTCACTAATTAAGGACTACTTGTACATGTAAAATACATCCAAATAGCCATTGGATATTCTGAATGACCATCTGATTCACTTAACAACTGCCGTGACTCACTTTACAACCATTGCAAAAATGGTTGTAAAATCTAGTCCATCCAGGTGATGCCTCAGCTTAATACTGCAATAACTGATGACTAGAATTCCGTGCTCCATTGTGACTGCATGACAAGGATTACCTATAATATTTATGTTGGTTGATTTTATCATCTTTATAGCCTCTTTTTCAGCAGTGTAAGAAAACACATGACTTTCTCCCTGTTGCTTGTGTTATCTGTATAACAAATGTGTGGGGAGGGGCACGGGGGAGAGGATGTGTCTGATTCAAGATCATTCAACAAGGTTCATGGCTGAGTGGGGATTTGAACTCAAAATAATATTCCATCTGCGAATGGATGCTCTGGGTTCGGTAATGTAATCATAAAGCGGGACACCCACATGATCAATCCAATTTTATGGCATTTTTATGGTGGTGGTTAAGGAAATGCCACGGTCATAAAGAGAACCCATTGTTTGCTGTAGGGTATTTTTGCCAAAACCCAGACATAAATGGCGGTTTCCTTCAAAAACATCATACAATGCAGTTGCGTGACTCTGGTGCTGCAAACAGCCGTAAATGTGGACTTGTGGACTGGTTGCTGAGTGTCTGAAATGCAGTCAGGCAATTGTGGGGAGGGAGTGGAACTGGCTGTTAGAATTTTGGAATTATATCAAGAGTCACCTTGGGGAGGTCTGTCATAGCTTCAAATGGTAACTAAACAACTGGTCATAAATGAAGGATCATCTTTACCTACAGAGGTGATGGGTTCTCCATCTCTGGAGGTCCTTGACAGCCACGCCTCCAGAGAAAGTTGAATTATTTTTCCAGCACATTGCAGAAGATTGGATTGGATAATCCTTGTGGTCCCTTCCAACTTCACAATTCTATGATTCTAGTCTACTTTTTGCGATCCTGGTTTGGTCCTGCACAATACTTGGCATTAGATGCCCTGGGAGTATTCCCAGAGGGCAGATGAAAAACGCAGAATATAAACAGGCAGAAGAGTAAATAAACCACTGGCCCAGGTTTGATCTGGAGCAGAGTTCAACCTTCACATCTGTCTCTAGGACCAGAGTTACAGGCATCTAATTCCACACTGATTGTGTTCACACGGCATGCCAAGTTTTAGTAGTTAAGTTTTAATAGTTTAGCATTTGCTGCACAGCCGGTCTGCCCTCTTAATTTATGGCTCAGTGCTTTGAACAGAGGGGATGGTTTCATTCAGGAACCAGGTTAAGTGGGTTGTGTGAATGCAGCCATTCGCATTCTAGGCATGTGCAGGGCTCCTTTCTCACACACACCCTCCCCAGTTAAAAGCAACCTCCCTTCCAATCCCCTGGATCTTTGAAAGGCAAGGCTCTTCGCCAAGATTACAGATTATGCTTCTGCTGTTTTCTTTGGCGGGGAATAAGTTCCGTCTGCGGGCAGGAAATGGTTAAGTGAAGCCTGACACCCTTCTCCCCACCCACCCCCTTTGTTTCCTCTAAGCAACACCCAGGCGCCCTCAGCCAATGGCTGGACGGCGTAACTGGAGCTCTCCTTGGAGGGGGGCGACTCCAGTTGTGCCTTTCAAGGCTCCAGAAAAAAACTTTCCAGACCCCCCTCTCTTTTTCTGATAATCACCAGTTTCTGTCTAGTTGTCTTTCCCACCCCTCTCTGCCAACAGGATTCCCTGCCTTTGGAAAAACCGAATCATCTTGTACCTGCAAAGCTCCTTTCTTGTATCTTCAAAGCGCCATTCGGGAGCCAAATTTTCCCTCCAGGCTTTTTCTTTTTCCAAGCTTTTAACCATTCTTTGGATCCTCGTCCAAAGGATCCTCGTCCTTTGAACTTTGCGCACTCTGGCCTGTCCCACCTTTGTTTTCTCTCCTACTCTTAAAACCCCTTCCTGGGTTGAGCCTGCAGCCATCCTCCCCTGTGCTGCTGGCACCCGAACTTTTCCCATAGTTGGTTCATTCATCCTTCCCTTCCCTGCCAGCTGCAACAGTTCCCTCCTCTTTGTCCAAAACCATCAGGATGTGGTCTGCAACCCTTTACCTTCTGGATCATGGTTGGTCTTGCTTGCTATGACAAACCTAGGTTTTCCTCACGTGCTGCTGGCGGCTGTTTCATCCAGACAAAGTAAGAGATACAGATCTTTCTTTCTTTCTTTCTTTCTTTCTTTCTTTCTTTCTTTCTTTCTTTCTTTCTTTCTTTCTTCCTTCCTTCCTTCCTTCCTTCCTTCCTTCCTTCCTTCCTTCCTTCCTTCCTTCTCTCTCTCTCTCTCCCTCCCTCCCTCCCTCCCTCTCTCCCCACCCCTCTCTTTCATAAAACTTCTGGTGTTCCTCGTTCACTTTCCCATCAATTCCACAAATGGGTAATGTGTAGTCTTCCTCCCCTAGAATGGGGTCTGTGGTATGATTAGAGGGCTGATAATTGGGGAGGCATGCAGAATCTGTTTTGTCCTCTTCTTTTTAGGTGTACTTGTATGTGCTTGAGAGAGAGAGGGAGGGAGGGAGGGAGGAAAGGAGAAGAAAAGAAAGAAAAAGAAAGAAAGAAAGAAAGAAAGAAAGAAAGAAAGAAAGAAAGAAAGAGAAAGAAAGAAAGACAAAGAAAGAAAGAAAAAGAAAGAAAGAAAGAAAGAAAGAATTTTATTATGTTAGAGTGGAATAATGGAGAAGGTGCTGGACTAGGAATGGAGAGAAACATATTCTAGTTCTTCTCAGCCACAGAAGCACCCTGGGCGACTTTGGGCCAGTCCCTCCTTGTCAACCCTGTCTTCATCACTGGCTTGTTGTGGGGGAAAAATAGGAGAGAGTGCTGGGTATGCCACCTTTGTACTTCTGAAAAACAAGATATAAATCTAACAAGGAATTGAGGCAGCTACTCAATTCACAATTCACATCCTTGATTTTGTTCAGAACCTCTCTTTTTCTCTCTCCTTGAGATAATCAGCCTCTGCTTACTTAGCAAGAGATAATCAGCTGTTGAGTTCACACCACCATATATAAACAAACCAACTAAAGATATAGTATTAGCATATTGCATTAACTTTGGTTAGTAGGGGTTTCGTTTTGTTTTTGTGGCTTAGCCTAGTTTATGAATTCGACCTGTGTGGCTGATTTCAGGTTCAGTGTAATGAACAGAATGCAGAAAATGGGTTAGTTTAGTAACCAGCCTCAAGAGTGTTGTGTGAACCTAGCAAAAAATACTATAGTGCAGGAAAGACCTATTTTCAGATCTCCCATTACCAAGTGCTGTGGGCAGTCTTGACCAGCTTGTCAGCCTGACCCACCTCACAGGATTGTGGTGAAACAAATGGGGAAATGTTAATATGCTATATTAATCCCTTGAAGGAAGGGCAGGAATAATTTCTTTTTAAAGCTAATAAATAGGCATAATCTCATTCTTTTGGAACCCTTATCTTCTTGGTGAAAACATTGCTGTCAGACCCTGTAACTAATTTCTTCCCTAGAACCCACTTCTAGTGGTAGAAGTGGCTATAGGTCTTCTCTGATTTGGGTGTTTTGTGAAGAAAGGACCTAGTCCAGCAGATATGACTGTATTGATTGACAAAACCATCTGGAAGATGCCAGGCTGGAACAGCAGGTTGAGCTGAAGGTAAGGAGACCAAATCATCCTAAGGCCTCTGTTTATGTATTGGCAGATGTTGAGTCCCACGTACAAGCAACGCAATGAAGACTTCCGCAGGATCTTCAAAGGGCTGCCTGAAGCTGAGCGTCTTCTTGTAGGTGAGGCACCAGAGGAGATGAGGGTTGGGAATGGCCTGGGCTTGGATCTAAATTAGGGGTCCCCAACCCCCAGTCTGTGGACCAGTACCAGGCCGTGGCATGCCAGCAACCGGTCCACACAAACAAGCAAAGTCCCATCTGCAGGATGTAGGTAGCACACAAAACCACGCCCCCTCCGGTCCATGGAAAAACCTCTCTCTACGTAACAGGTCCCTGGTGCCCAAAAGGTTGGGGATCTCTGATCTAAATAACAGAGTGGGTGAATTGGGCAAATAGGATCACTTACAGGGGCTAGAGACTTCATAACGGTCAGAACAGGCTATGGTATTCTGTGTGACCTCAATGGAAGGCTAAGTTGGGCTTTGAAGAAGCAGGAGAGAAAGGGTTTTGACCCTTTGGGGTTTGGAGACTCCAACTTTGGAGTTGGAGAAGACCTCTGAGAATACCACGGATAGCCAAGAAAACAAATGGACCTTCAAACAAAGCAACCCAGAGTTCTCACTCAAAGCACAAGTGACCAGGCTTAAATTATTCTACTTTGGACACATTGTGTGAAGACCCAGCTCTCTGGACAAGGTTGTAAAGCTGGGAAAGAGGACAACCATTAGTAAAGACTCAATTCAAGTGGTGATGGCTGCATGCTTGGAAGACCTGAAAGACCTAGTTAGGGGCAGATCATCCAGGAGAAAATCTACCTATTGCGGTCGCTAAGAGTTAACACCAGTTTGATGACACATCACTCATCGGTGACTGCATAAAGATGGTGGAAGATATTGGGAGAACAACTTTGGAAAGTGTGGGAAATTATGAAACTGTAAGGGGGAAGAAAAACCCAGTGTTTTTCCTCTTATTTCTTTCAGTTTTGGGGGCTGGATGTCAGCAGCAAGTCCTGTGGGTAATTTCCAATCCTGGAATGCTTGCCACTTCGGAGGTTTATGATAGTCTTCAAATAGCTCAACATTCCAGAGGGTAGCACTTAAAGCAAAGGGGGGAAAAATATAAGGAGGGCAAGAATTGGAGTTATCATGTCTAGACGTGTTTTACATGCCTCGGGTTTTTAAAAGCACTGGTGGTTTGTAGTTGTCACAGCTATGTTTAGCACTCTTTTTTTTTCTTTTTTTTTTGAATGCTGTCTATCTCTGGCTCTCAGTTACAAAGTCCACCGCTGCAATTGTGTAACGTGCAAAAACATAGCTGGTTTTAGCTTTGGCTAGGATATGTTTTGGGTTTGGTGGCATAATATATTGCGTGTTGATTTAGTTTATAGTTCAAAGAGCAGGACATAACCTTAAAAATGGGTTCCCAAGTAGATTAACCATACTGTGTGTGAGCATAGGCAATGTACAGGTAGGCCTCAACGTGTGATTGGTTGCTTAGCAACCATTCAAAGTTACGACGGAGCCCTTCAAAAGATACCTACGACCCAAATTTGAAGTTCCAATGGCTACCCCACCGCCCCTGGGTGGTCACATAATCGCATTTTGAGCACCTGGCAGTTGCATTTACAACCATTTGCAGTGTCGTGCAGTCATGTGACCACAATTTACAGTGTTTTGTTTTGTTTCTCCCCCCCCCCCTCCTGAAACTGATTTTTTACTTCCGGTTTCTGTCAAAAACTGCCCATTGTAGACAATTGGTTCACTTAAGAATCGCAGCATTTGCTTAATGACCACTGCGTCTGCTTTACGACCATGCAAAAAAAGGTCATAAAAATCAGGCATAGTCATGTGATGATCCTCTTTTAACTTACAACCCTAATTCCTGGCTCAGTTGCAGTCATAAATTGAGGATTACCTGTATTTGAAATAAAAACGTCAGAAGTTTGACTAATATCTCTGGGCCTGCAGCCCCCTTAGTAGCAGGCTGCAAGGATAATTTCCCATTTTAACTTCTACTTTCTCCGCCCCCCTTTCCATGCCCCCTGATACCTCCTGTCTCCTTAGATTACTCCTGTGCGTTGCAGCGTGACATCCTCCTTCAAGGTCGGCTTTATCTATCGGAGAACTGGATCTGCTTCTACAGCAACATCTTTCGATGGGAGACCACGGTAGATGCTCCATCTGGGATTCTTTCTGATTGCTTTTAGTTCTGCCTGTCACGGCCTCTGACTTCTGTGTTGCCCTTTCCATGATAGATCTCCATCCAGCTCAAGGAGGTGATATGCATCAAAAAGGAAAAAACTGCCAAGCTGATCCCCAACGCGATTCAGATTTGCACAGAGTCTGAGAAGGTGAGATCAAGCCTAAGGATTGATGTTGTCATTTCCAAGGCGTTGCATTTTATAACTTGCCAAAAAAGAGCTCCAATCTTTGATTTTCTTCATGTGTTGCAAAAACTGCGCTTTGTTTGTCATCTGTTCTTACTGATCGGGTTATCTGTAGCCATCTCTACCGCTGAAGCAATTTGAAGCTGCACAAATCTACTTGCCTGTTGTAGAAAAAAAAAACTCGCAAAAAAGTGGAATAAAAATAAATTAAAATAATCATAAACAGAATAAAATTAAAATAAACTTTAAAAGTTAAATAAAAATAAAGTAGACTAGAATAAAAGCAGAAAATAACTTTAGAAGTGGGAGGCTTATACTTGGACTGAATGCCTGGAGTCACCTCTGTGTGAATTGGCAGCCATATAAATGCCTTAAATAAATAATAAATAAACAAATGGGTAGCAATCCCCCCTCCTCCTCCTTATTTTTTAAGGTGTGGGGCCTTATTAAGCTTTTTTTTTTCCCCAATGAGGAAATGACACAAAACAGTCAAGGACACTTTATACATGAGAGCAGGGCCAAGATTTTCCACTGTGGAAAATTTGATTTAATCTGCATTACTTCTATTCTAGCATTAAAGGTTCCCTTTCATTATGTGTATGTTTTCTGACTCAAAACCTCCTGCGAGAGTTTGCTTCCTGTATTGTGACCAGAGATGATTTTGAGGACTGCAAAACTCAGAAATGGGTGGCTGCAAAGTGCCCCAGCTAATTTTATAAAATGGCTTTTTCCTGGGGTTTGGCAGAAATACGCAATTATGGATTTGGCAGAAATCTGCAATATCCAGGATTGAATCTGGATCTTCAGTTGGGCATTGAGTGGTAGAAACTTCCCATCCTTGTTCTAGAATCAGTGTTTCTCAACCTTGGCAATTTGAAGACGTGCGGACTTCAACTCCCAGAATAGCCATTCTGAAGCTGCACATGAATGCTCAGTGCCACTGAGAAAAAAAATATGGTGTCTGAGGCCCAACCAAAGGATACCAGCCTTTCTCTGTCCCAGCTTCCTTCTCTCTCTTCTTCACTTTTCAAAGTGTTGGGGGCACATGATGGACCTTCTGCACAGTGTAAATACTTGAATAGATTTTACCCATACATCTGGGTTATCTTTCTTCCTAGGAAATGTTGCAATCCTGTGCAAGAAGAGAGAGCCTAACTCTCTTGTTGTTGACTGTTTCTCTTCTTTCTCCTGTCTGCCTATGGAGATTCTCAGTCATCCAGGTCATGTTTGTCCCAAAGGTGCTTTTTCAAAAGGCAACTGGACCTTTCTTTGTTTTTTCCTTGAAGATGTTTCGCTTCTCATCCAAGAAGCTTCGTCAGAACTGGAGAAACAAAACATCTTCAAGTAAAAAACAAAGAAAGGTCCATTGCCTTTTGAAAAAGCACCTGTGAGTTCTCCCTGTCTCATTCCTGCCCTAGACTTCTTACATTCTTCTTCTGGCATCTTTGCTGTGCAAGGGTGAGGTTTTTATCTCAGGGGCATCTCCTCTTGATTTATGGCCCTAATCAGCAGGGCAGCGTCCTAGAAAAGAGAAAGCACATCAGGTATAAGGAATTCCAAAGCAAAATGGGTGTGTCCCTATCTCTAGAGTGGTTGTAGAAAATCATTTTAATGCTCCATTTAATGTGGAGCCATCCTTTCTTTGCAGAGTTTAATGACTTATGGCTGCACACTTTAGAGAAAACAGTGCACACTTTGCAAGTGCCTTTCAAGATAAGCACATCCAGGAAGTCTGTTAGATTGTAATCTTCATCAACAATTGTGGTTAGACAGCCAGGGAGGGCTTGTAATCTTTAAGATCGCTCAGATGCCTCAGATGTTTCCTTCTGGTATTGAGGTTTGCAATTTGAAACAGCAGAGCCCATTTCACAGAAGCCTATCATTATTTCTGCCTGGGATCATTGTAATCTTTCAGTCTATTATTCATGCAAGAATGCATTGCACAATCTGTACAATGCATGTTTTTGAGGCAAGAAGCAATTTCTGAGCGTTGAGAATATGGTGATCCGCTAGAAGAGTATTTCTCAATCTTGGCGTCTTCTAAGACATGTGGACTTCAACTGCCAGAATTCCCCATTTCATACAGTTGGCAAAGTTGAGAAACACTGCTGAACTATATGTCCCAGCAACCATGTAGTGATAATATAACTCCTGCTGGGGGATGCTGGGAGTTGTAGTTCAGTCATGTCTGGAAGAGCAACACTGGTCTACATAGATAAAGGGTTATCTACCCACCTGTGTGAATAGCAGGAGCAAGAACATAGATGGTCTCCTGGAGATCATCTATGATGAGGGAATATCCCTGCAGCTCCATAATCAAATTTGTACATCCAGGTGAATAAATTCCAGTTTCTCTGTCTACCTTCCTTCCTACCTACCTACCTATTAATTAAATCAATCAGATTCTCTGCAGTTCGCAGTAAATAAGACCATAAAAGAAAGGCCATCCCGTTGAAAGATCAATTGAAAATATTAAAGCACAACAAAAGATCTTAATAAATCAATATCAATCAAGTATGGGTGTCCCCTTGCTCATCCTAAGCCCTCCAAAATAGTTAACATTTTCAGAAAGCAAGTTTCTTTATGTCCCTGAGAAAGCACAGCCTAAATACAACATACAAGTGGAAGCAATGAAAGTTCCCAGCAGTCAAATTTCTTTTGGGAAGGCCAGTCTTAACATTGTTCTTCTTTGTGGTTCCCAGCATTTCTTCACATCCTTCGGCGCCCGTGACCGATGCTTCATGCTAATTTTTCGCCTTTGGCAGAATGCACTTCTGGACAAGGTAGGAACACATTGGGGGAGAAGCCACCTCAGATTTGCCACAACTCAGTTCTCAGAGTGGCGGACTAGTTTTGATCACGTTTCAAGGTTGTCTATGGAGATGGTCAGTCATCCAGGTCATGGTTGTCCCAGAGGTGCTTTTTCAAGAGGCAAGTGGACTTTGTTTTTCCTTGAAGACGTTTTACTTCAGTTCTGAAGAAGCTTCCTGGATGAGAAGCGAAAGGTCTTCAAGGAAAAAACAAAGAAAGTCCACTTACCTCTTGAAAAAGCACCTTTGGGACATGTTTCAAGGTTTTTCACCTGTGGCTCCTATATACTGACTTGTTTAGCTTTGATACACCCATAGAAACAGATACACCCACAAATGAGATTCAGACATGATGCTTAACCAAGGAGAGCAAATTTTCTGATCCTTTAGATATGGTCAAAGTACAGTTTCCAGCTTCCCTAGAAAGCGTAGCTAATGGTGAAAGATGCTAGGATTTATAACTTGGGGTGCCACAGGTTGCCTGTTCCAAACCATCGTGTTCTTTCTTGGTTCTGGCTTAGTGTCAACCAGATGGAGAAACATATTCCATAGGAAAACTAGAATTAAACTTTTTCGAGATAGGCTATTGTAACAGAAACCTGCAGGTCAGATTGCATTTCACTCAGACCCCGGGGAATTAATAATACAGCCTCTTTCTAATACAGGTAATCCTCAACTTACAACTGTTCATTTAGTGATCATTCAAAATCACAACGGCATTGAAAAAGGTCACTTATGACCCTTCTTCATGCTTATGACCGTTGCAGCATCCCCATGGTCACGTGATCAAAATTCCTGGCAACTGACTCATATTTATAACGGTCGCAGTGTCCCAGGGTCATGTGATCCCCTTTTGTGACCTTCTGACAAGCAAGGTCAATGGGGAAGCCAGATTTACTTAACAACCATGTTTCTAACTTAACAACCACAGTAATTCAGTTAACAACTGTGGCTAGAATGGTTGTAAAATGGGGCAAAATTCACTTACCAAATGTTTCACTTAGCAACAGAAATTTTGGGCTCAATTGTAGTTGTAAGTCGAGGACTACCTCTACTTCCCACCTTGCTGGACTTAATGCATGCTTCTTCTGCACTTTCTGTGGCCCTAATAGCTTCTAGTTTCCTTCTCCAAAGTCATCTCCATGGCTCCCTATACTTAATAGGTTGCATGAATGCAGCCATTATGTACTGAAAACCATAGTTTATGCCATTGGGCAATATGTGAACCCAGTCAATTATAGCTTGCTCAGCAATGCACAGTTGAAACAGATGTTGACCTATTGTCATAAGCTCTTCAATAGCTGTGCTATATGCCTGCTTCTTCGTTTCATCTCTTAATGTCATGTTCTTCCATTGCCACCAGACGTTGCCCCCACGAGAACTCTGGCACATTGTCCATCAATGCTACGGTTCTGAACTTGGCTTGACCAGCGAAGATGATGATTACGTTTCTCCCATTGATGATCTCAATGGCTTGGGGTGAGCATCCACTGTCCTGCAGATGGGACAGTTTTCTCCTGGGTCAGGGAATGGAACCTGTAGCCATACCTCTTAGCTGTCTCTTTGCCATCTGCCCGAGATGGTGATCAGCCTTTCTCAAAGTTGATCCTTCCATAAATTAGCCTTGCTGGTTCAGAAGTCTCCTTTTAAATCTTCCTCTCTTTTGTCTCTGGGTCACAACAGAAGCCACAAAGAAATTGGAGATGATATCGACCTGACTGAGCTGGCTTCCCGCTGCAGCACTGACCTCAAGCTGGACACCAGTCCCTTGCTGGACAAAAGGGACACCAGTCACAGCATCAACTCGCTGGCCAGCAGCAGTGATGGGACCACATCGGTGAGGATAGGGGATTCAGAAGACAGCTGGAATGTCACGAAGGTCCATTCCTAGATTTTGTACCCCATAAGAACTACTTGCCCTACAATAATGCATGATAAGCTGATTGCAAACTTTTCCATTCTCCTCTTGAAAATTACCTGCTCCGCATAATTTCCTTTCCCCTCCCTAGAAATCTTGTTTGTTTTGCATATTTTAATGCACTTATTTTACCATCTTTTTGTAGGTGGAGGGAGAAAAAAAAAAACCACCGCCAAATTTCAGCAGTATAATTTTGGAGATTCTTTGGAAAGTTGCATGATGTTTATGGGTTGCTATCTCCCAAACCTTGTCCTCTTGGGGTTAAGTTTAAGGATTTAATAGATAATACCTGTGGGAAAACATTTATGTAGCAGGGTTGGATCACTGAAGAAAGAATCAAATAAACTAAAATAAGTTCAGAGTTGAGGAATCGGGACGATTTGAAAGGTAGAAACAAAGCCATTTGAGGAATAAGAAACTGTTTAAGGTTGTTTATTTGAGGGTTTGTTGGTGCTCCCCGAGCTTGGTTGTTTTCTTGCAGATGTTTCATTACCCAAACCAGGTAACATCATCAGTGCTAGGTTGTTCATTTGTTTGGGAATGTTTAAGCTTGAGAACAGAAGACTGGGAATAGGATAGCATCTTTAAAGATCTGAAAGCCTGCCACATAGGTGATGGAGGCTTACTCTCCATAGTTCCCAGGGACAGGACATGAAATATTAATGTTTAGAGTTCCAGCAAGCCAGATTCCAACTGAATGTTAAAAAATATATAGAATCATTAGCTCGAGATAGGCTTCCTTTCATTGGATGTAATTCAAAGGGCAGCTAGACTGTGATTTATCAGAGATGTTGTAACATGGATTGGTACCAAAGTCTAACAGCCATTTCCAACTATAAGATCCTGTGGAATACCTTGAACAGAGGTCAAATTAATCTCCACCTGCTTGTGAAGGACTTTACCTGAATCTTTGAAATACAGGAAGGTAGTGTAGATTGGTCGTTGCGTTCAATATTCCCCAGAGAGATGATGTATCTCTAAAGAAAAGTCTTTCTTTTCTAGTTCCACCTAGAAATGCTAGATATTAATTCTGGAACATTTAGTGTGCAAAGCACATGCATTAACAGTCTAACTAACAGTCTCTACGCTTGGGTGCAGTGGAATAAATGCTTTTGAACTATTAAAAGACTCAGGTTAAAATACTACAATTGTTCCTATGCTCCATACTACTTTTTATACCTTTGCTTTATAAGTATATATGCATCACATGCTTATCAATAACTTAAACGTTGCAAGCAACAGCATAAAACTATTTGATAATAATATCAAAGACTTTACCTTGTTCTTGTTGTAAAAACATCCAACCCTCAATTTTAAGTAAAGACAAAAGAAAAGCACATCAGGGAAAATGGGAAGCTCTCCTATTGTTTAAAATACTTTTTGAGGGGAAAGTTTGATTTTGTTTGATTTCATCCCTCCTGATAAAAGCCTTTTTCTCGGGCTGCCCAAACAGATGAAATTTTCAATTCAGCTTTGACTATGAAGGGTATTTTTTAAGATACCTGGTCTAATAATACTCCATTTTTTTTAAGCAGCTAAAGAAAAGAATACAAAAATCCAATGCACTTACTCTGTGGTTGTTTTTCAGGTGAAAATCTCACCTGATTTGGGTAATGTCCAAGGGTATTTCAGAATCCTTAAAAATGAAGCTGATCTTTTGAAACACATCTGGCTAAAATGGTTTTATGATTCTAACTCTACTGCAACTTACAAAAGGAGAGAGATTTTAGTTCTGAAAATTATTTACAGCCCAATGCAGGTCTACTTAGATATGAGTCCCATTGAATATTGTAAAAGGACTTTTTCAGTGTCCCTGTAACTTCAAACAGTCACTAAACAAATGGTTGTAAGTCAGGGACTGCCTGTATTACCTTCTGCTGCATGCTTGGTGACAAGAACATATCAAACAGCAGATATTTTGGCTGATATCTCATTGGCTGTCTGGATGCTGAATGTCAAATGGTGGCCAAATGTGTATTTTAATGGAGCCAATCCCCAAAGCTCAGCTGGGTTGAATCTAATGCCGACTTGCTTCCCTGTAGCTGGCAGAAGATCCGGAGGATAACACTGATAGCCAAATGGATGCTTCATCTAGCCACACAGTGACCTCAGCCACAGACCCCCTTCCAGATGAATTGTTGCAAGGGCCTGTTGTGTCCCTCCCGGAGGGGGACCCGCCTCCCAGTGAAGAGCTCCCCACCGACATGAGCAATTCCTCCTCTTCCACGCAAGATGAAGGTGAGGGTAACCTCCATCCTGCCTGAATTCTTCCGTAATTTTAGATTAGGACAGTGATGGTGAACCTTTTAGAGACCGAGTGGCCAAACTGCAACCCAAAACCCACTTATGCATCGTTGAGTGCCAGGTGGGTGTGGCCCATTGGGTGGGTGTGGCCAATTGGGTGGGCATGGCTGCAGTGGTAACGGCCGACTGGGTGGGACTAAAAAGTTCAATCAATCAATTCCAACTTTGCAAGATCTTTTTTTTTCCCCGCGAGAAGTTGAAATTGACTGATTGAACTTTTTTTTTTTTTTTTTTTGCACACGGCGGCAGAGGCCTAAAGCGAAAAGGTTTTATAAAACCCAGCTGAAGGCCTAGGACTGGGGCGACGGCGCGCGTGCCCACAGAGAGGGCTCTGAGTGCTGCCTCTGGCACCCGTGCCATAGGTTCGCCACCACTGGATTAGGAGATCTAATCCGACATCTCTCATTCTCCCTTCTCCAGCTGAAGTGGAAGCCTTTTTCACAGACTTGCCAGGGCGGCTCCTGATCAACGCCGTGTATCACGTTGGTGCTGAGAGGCTGCAGCAAATGCTTTTCAGTGACTCCCAGTTCATACACAGCTTTTTGGACCAACGCAAGTTCACAGGTAAGGAGGGTGGAGAAACTGTTTCAAATCACATCCTCAGTGGACATTTGGGAGCAAAGTTCAGGCAGGAGTTGACATTGCAAAAAACAAAGGACACTGCTGTTTTCTGTCTATTTTAATGGATTAACTTAGACTTCCATAACCTGGTCTCCAGCTGATGTATCGAATAAATATTTGGGACGCTTTTGCATAAACAGCCAACTACAAACTTCCCTGATTGAGAGAGACACAACCTTCCTCCTTGCCAGGTCATACTAAAAAGCCTAATCCATAGTTCTCTTGGAAAGAAAATCTAAAAGTCTTCACTTGAACGTTCCAAAGGTGCTTTTTTTTGAAAGGCAACTGGACTTTGTTTTGCTTGAAGACATTTCGCTTCTCATCCAAGAAGCTTCTTCAGCTCTGAATTGAACTGAAGAAGCTTCTTGGATGAGAAGCGAAACGTCTTCAAGAAAAAAACAAAAACAAAGAAAGTCCAGTTGCCTTTTGAAAAAGCACCTTTGGGACAACCATGACCTGGATGAGAATCTTCACCTGAATGTCCGTGGAGGAAAATTGGTTTCAAAGAGGAAATAGTTCGGTTGCTGGAATTCTTTTAATTCCATCCAACTCAATCAGTCTTACAGAACAGATCCTAGAATTGTGCTGGAAATTATTTTTTTCAGTTTTAAGCAGCTGTCAATTAATTTTGGAACTGCTCCTGGCATGGCTGCTGTCTATTGCTTCCACTTTTGTAGGCTCCACTTTGGGAGATATTGCCCATCCCAGATTTAAGTCAACTTTTTAAATGTCTGGATCCATATATCTATATCCATATCCTTATCTATCATATCTAATTCCCGTGAAGGCTACAGCAAGTGTGACTATTGATGTTATAATATAATATTTCCAGATGGGACGTGGGCAAACATTTTGGTCCTTTTGACTATATTGGGTGGGTTAAGATGCAAACAGGGCAACCATTTTCCCTCAAAATCTTCCCTCACAGCAAGCCAAATCCCCAGGCCTAAATCCCCTCACCCCAATCTTAGAGGGCTCCAACAACTGCAAAAGGGGAGTGCTGGGGGACCCCTCACAAGCCATAGATCGCCCACAGTTGAATTCATCTTTTCAGTCCTATGATCCCTTTCATTTTCAGTTCAAAGTTAATGGTTGTGAGAATGGATCGTAGTTCCCCAGCAGAGCAAAAGATCTCAGTTAAACTGGCTGTTTCCTGGGCATTTATAACAGGTAGCAACCCTTTGAAACATTGAGTCCTGCCTGATTTTTATGTGCATTTTTTTTTTTTTGCTGGAAGCCATTTATACTAAAGCCTTGCAACCTTCAAAGATAACGGGTGTCCATTAAATCCAAATCTGTGCCTGCTTTTGTCATTTGCATAATTGCATACATGATGTAAATCGTGTGGCTTGCAGTAAAACCTTGAATCAATGAACTAACGTCCATTAAAAAAGAGTGTAGAGTTTGAACAGAACATGTGTTCACTGTATCCAGAGCTCACTAAATGTGTGTTTATCAACTAAGACTTTACCGTACCATTTTTCAAAAAATATTATCCTGATAATATTTCAATTGCCACTTGGTTTTCCTACCCTGTCCCCAACTTTTCTTTCTCCCTCTTCCTAGATGTTGCACTGAGTTCATGGAGCGGAGACAGCAAGTGTCACCAAAGTCGCGTCATCACCTACACCATCCCCATCAGTAACCCTTTGGGCCCCAAGGTTGCACCGGTGGTAGAGACCCAGGTACGGAGACCGGGTTCCTAAAAATATGAAGAGGGGCAGACAGCAGTGTGCTGCAGCTGCCAAAAAAGCCAACACAGTGTTAGACTGCATTAACAGGGATAGAATCAAGATCACGTGAAGTATTAATACCACTTTACAATGCCTTGGTAAAGCCACACTTGGAATACTGCATCCAGTTTTGGTCATCACGATGTAAAAAAGATGTTGAGACTCTAGAAAGAGTACAGAGAAGAGCAACAAAGATGATCAGGGGACTGGAGGCTAAAACATATAAGGAAAAGTTGCTAGAATTAGGTATGTCTAGTAGTTTAATGAAGAGAAGGACAAGGGGGGACATGATAGCAGTGTTCCAATATCTCAGGGGTTGCCACAAAGAAGAGGGAGTCAAGCTATTCTCCAAAGCGCCTGAGGGCAGGACAAGAAGCAACGGATCAAAACTAATCAAGGAGAGAAGCAGCCTAGAACTAAGGAGAAATTTCCTGACAGTTAGAACAATTAACCAATGGAACAATTTGCCTCCAGAAATTGTGGGTGCTCCAACACTGGAAGTTTTTAAGAAGAGCCTGGACAGCCATTTATCTGAAATGGTATAGGGTTTCCTGCCTGAGCAGGGGGTTGGACTAGATGACCTCCAAGGTCCCTTCCAACTTTATTATTATTATTATTAAAGCAAGGTCATCGTATTTTGATCCGCTGGCTGGCCCGGTAAAGATAGTCCTTGACTTACAACAAATCATTTAGTGACCATTCAAAGTTACACTGGCACCGAAAAAAGCGACTAATGACCCATTTTTCACACTTATGACTGTTGCAGATCCCCACAGTCAGGTGATTTGGATGCTTGACAACTAACTCATATTTATGACGGTTGCAGGATCCCAGGAGCTTGTGATCCCCTTTTGTGACCTTCTGACAAGCAAAGGAACCAGATTCACTTCACAACCATATTACTAACTTATCAGCTGTGGTGATTCACTTAACAGCTGTGGCAGGAAAAGTCATAAAATGGGGCAGAATTCACTTAACAGATGTTTCACTTAGCAACAGAAATGTTGGGCTCAATTGTGGCCATAAATTGAGGATTACCTGTGCTAACTTTTAAGCCACTGCTTCCTTGAGACTGTTACCTGAACAAACTGAGGGGCATGGGTAAAGGTATAGCATTGACCAAGAATGGGTATTAAAAACTGAATGTCTGAGTTTATCATACTTTTCTCTTCCTCTTTGCCTGCTGGGCGCTAGACTCTTTTCCGTGCCAGTTCCAAGAATGGAGGCTGTGTGGTGGACTCAGAAGTGGTCACTCAGGGCATCCCTTACCAGGATTACTTCTACACTGTGCATCGGTACTGCATCACCACCGTAGCCAAAAGCAAGGCCAGGCTCAGGTATTAACTCTTGGATCACTCCCTTCTGCATCCGTACAGTTGGAAAACAGCGTGTTAGGTTAGAGAAGTCTAAAACAGAGTGGAAATTCCTGGGGAAGAAACAGGGCAGAGGGAGGAGGTTCCCAATGGCAGCCATAATAAGCTTCAAGTTCATCAAAATCTTGACATGTGTCCTGATGTTCTAGAGCAGGGGTCTTCAAACATGGCCCTTTTATGACTTGCGGACTTCAACTCCCAGAATTCCTCAGCCAGGCATGCAACTTAGATTTTGCATCATGACAACTGATACAAACGAGTGAGTCGTGTCATTGCATCACTACATAAAATACGGCTTATGATTCATTCCTCTTTGTTAGGAGTTCATTCTTTCTTTCTTCCATTCAATGAATCAATCAGTCAATTAATTTGCACTGCTACCCATCTCCACAAGTGACTCCTGGTTGCATTTTGGTTGCTTTTTTTTTTGTTTTGAATCTGATTAATATGTCAAAACCATACCAGGCCAAGGAGGATATCAGCTTACAAATCCCTTTTCTCTGGATGCATAGTTCACTTGCGCTAGAAGGGGAGCAAAAACTAAATTAGAGAACCCTCTTGATGCCATATAGTCTAAACAAAATCAGTAGCAGGACAATGCATTCATTAGACAAAGATGTGCAAAAGTTCAAATTCTCTAAAACTCTTGCTTGGGTACAATGCTACATCAATCGATGCTGCATGAAAAGAAGGACGAGGGGGGACATGATAGCAGTGTTCCAATATCTCAGGGGCTGCCGCAAAGAAGAGGGAGTCAAGCTATTCTCCAAAGCACTTGAAGGCAAGACAAGAAGCAATGGATGGAAACTAACCAAGTAGAGAAGCAACCTAGAACTAAGGAGAAATTTCCTGACAGTGAGAACAATTAACCAGTGGAACAACCTGCCTCCAGAAGCTGTGAATGCTCCAACACTGGAAGTTATTAAGAACAGTTTGGACAACCATTTACCTGAAATGGTATAAGATTTCCTGCTTGAGCAGGGGCTTAGACTAGACTAGAAGACTTTCAAGGTCCCTTCCATTATTCTGTTGTTCAATCAGAATGGGGAAGAAGCAAACCAAAGCAAATTAAGGCAGCCAATTCAAAGTTTGCAGCTCAGAGTTCATATTGAGATAGAGACTGTAATCTAAATGCATGACTGTGGGCATCGTCGGGTCATTTTACATGCAGCATTCAGCCACAAAGCGTGACTGATATCCCCGCCTTCCCGGTTCTGAAAACAAAAAGGTTACTGAGCCTCTGATCTCCTTGGGGAACACCTGATCTTGTAACTGCAGATGAAATGGAAAAAAGGTGAGATAGATATAAGAAAGATTAGATGACACCAGAGTTCCTTTTCGTTGCAAGCCAAGCGAAGTATTCCATTCTTTGCCAAAGGGGTTCCTCGTCAGGTTTCCCAGCATTCCACGAGGGAAACAGAAAGGTTCTTTGGCTCATCTGTAACAGTTGTTCTCCATTACAGAGTCTCCTCTGAAATCCGGTATCGGAAGCAGCCGTGGACCCTTGTGAAGACTTTCATTGAAAAAAATGCATGGAGCGGTGTTGAAGAATACTTCCAGCACTTGGGTAAGTGAATCGGGGAGACAAGCTACAGTGCAGAACCTGTGCTTTGGAACAAGTACGACACTTGGGTTGGGTTCCCTCTTGTCTTCCCATTTGTGAATAGAATAGAATAGAATGGGATGGGATGGGATGGGATGGGATGGGAATAGAATAGGAATAGAGCTGGAAGGGATCTTGGAGGTCTTCTAGTCCAGCCCCCTGCTCAAGCAGGAGGACCTATACCATCTCAGACAGGTGATTGTCCAGTCTCTTTTTAAAAACTTCCAGTGATGGAGCGCCCACGATTTCTGGGGGCAAGCTGTTCCACTGGTTGATTGTCCTCACTGTCAGGAAGTTTCTCCTTAATTCTAGGTTGCTTCTCTCCTTGATCAGTTTCCAACCATTGCTTCTCGTCCTTCCCTCTGGTGCTTTGGTGAACAACTTCGCCCCCTCTGCCTTGTGGCAGCCCCTCAGATACTGGAACACTGCTATCATGTCACCCCTATTTCTTCTTTTCTTTAGACTGGCCAAACCCAAGTCCCGCAGCCGTTCTTCATATGTTTTAGTCTCCAGGCCTATGATCATCTTAGTTGCTCTTCTCTGAATTTTTTTCCAGACTCTCAACGTCTTTTTTGTGATATGGTGACCAAAATTGGTTGCGGTATTCGAGGTGTGGTCTTACTAGGGCTTTATAAAGTGTTCATCAACTTCTCCCAGTAGAGATTTTTAGAGAATAGGTAGTTCTGAAGTTATCTGAGATATTCACCTGTAGTCATGTGCAGAATGAGACAAAAGTGTAGATGTTTTGGAAAAGGAGAGAGGCCCCTCTATCAGGATCGTGATTTTAGGCATGAACTCAGCCCTCCAACCTCTACACCTCTGTGGTCAAACGCTGTTTCAGAACTGGCACTGGTGCAAGCAGAAAAGGCTCTGCTAGAGGACAGCTGCCATGGCAAAGAACCTCGGGGTCTCTTGTCTGGATTGCGTCGCAGGAAACGGACCCTGAGCTGGAGAGCTCCCCATGTTGAAGCCCCAATGCCCACGCTACCCGATAGTGAAGGTGCATCGCGAACTGTTCGCCCTTCAGGTATGCCCCCTTGTTAAGAATGGTCTAATTCCTTTCCCTTCCATGATATACAGGGAATCTGTGATCCTTTGGACCAGAGGTCCCCAACTTTTTGGGCACCAAGGACCGGTTCCGTGGAAAGAGGTTTTTCCGTGGACCAGAGGGGGCGTGGTTATGGCTGGCATGCTGCAGCCCGGTACTGGTCCATGGATCGGGGATTGGGGACCCCTGCTTTAGATATTACTGAACTACCAAAATCCTTCAGCATTAGGAATGAGACTAAATGAGGTTGCATGAAGTTGCAGTTCAATAATGCCTGGAGCACCTCAAGTTCCTTTCATTTAAATCCTTGACCTGTTGGTCTTCTGTTTTGTAGGCAGCCTGACCTCACGTCTTTCAGAACAACTCCTGGAGCCAGGACAGGGACAGACCGTCTCCACCGTGATCCTTGTCATCAGTCTGGTGTAAGGAAGCTGCTTTGGGGGGAGGTGGGGCTGTGTTTGGAGAGCATCTAGAGAACTTCCCCCATTCTGATTTCCTGCAAGTGCATTCACTTCAATTCCCAAAGTTCTCCATAATGGTTGAACTGGTTGGGGAATTGAACTCCACATATCTGGGAGGCTGATCTAGACCAGCCTTTTCAAACCAGATGTTCTGTAGAGGCAGACTGCAACTTTCAACTTGTCCAGCCAGCCCATAGCAGAGCTGGCTCTGGATAACAGTCCAACACATCTGGAGGCCCTTTCTCAGGGAAGGCTTTTCTAGAGTTCTGTATATGAGTTTTCCATTTGCAAACTTAGAAGTATACACACCAGAATCTACACAAAGTCACAACTTACATAGGGTTACAGCTTACTGTGCTTAGGAAGCCAAGAAAGAGTCCAGCCCACTGAAGCCAGGAACAGGGCTGGCTTTATCCTGGAACACCCATGATGCCATCAGAATGGGGTTTTAGTGGAGCCTGGAATTCTGCTTAATGGATAGGGTGGCCTCAAAGACAGCAAGGCTGGCTGAAAGTAAATAAAGTAATAAAGTAACTTGCATGACCGTCAAAACAAGGCTCCCCTCTCTGCTCCCCAAACTGAAATGACCTTGTTGCCCCATTGCTAGGTGGGTTGTAGCAAAAGGGGGGGAAAAGTCAAGCCCCAATGCTGTCAAGGCTGGTTGGAAAGCCACTAGTCACTAATACATAACAATATTACGCTGGCTTGTGCTTAAAGTGTACCACTATCTTCCTAAGATCCCTCACCCTGCTTCTTTTTTCAAGGTGGCTTGGTTTATTGATTATTTCAATTTATCTGCCTCCCCCCCCTCAAAAAAATTCAAATTCATGACTCTGGGCAGCTCCCAACAGTTAACATGCCATAAAACATAATTGAATAAAAAGGTTTCTAGTTTAACTAACTTAATTTCCGGCTAAATTAGCAACCTTATTTGCAGAGTTTGGGAAGGTCTGGTGTGGCAGCATCTATGCTGGATATTTTTTTCCTTTTCTTTTTTTTATTGATGAGAGAACGCAGGAACAAAGCTTCATCTCTTTTTCCTTCTTTCTTTCTTTCTTTTTCTTTTTCTTTCTCTTGTTTCTTTCCTTCCTTCCTCTTTCTCTTCTCTTCTCTTCTCTTCCCTTCCCTTCTCTTCTCTTCTCTTCTCTTCTTTCTCGCCTCCGCACAGGATCTGTGTGAGGTATTGTATACCAACAGCCCTCCAGCTCTGGCAATGTTGCTACTGCCTTGAACATCCCTGTGCCCCTCACCTGACCCCATCCTGCCATGCCTTCCTGCTTTGAAAACCTGCAGCTTCCACCCTGCCTTCCTTCCTTCTTTCTTTCGTTCCCAGTCCCAAGTGGCTTCTTCATCCTGGCTTGGTTCTGGTTTCTTGATTGGCCTTCATGATTCCTGCCATTTCAATCCTCTGCCTAAGCGCCCTGGCAGTCACTTCCATGATGTCTTCCACTGTTAGCCCACACCCACCCACCCACCCCCCGACTGCACTCTGCTTACCATGTCTCTTATCCCTCGCCCCAATCCTAAACTGTGATCCCCACCAGATTAAACAGGAAACGGGGGGGAAACAGTGGCCCGAACCCTTAGCCAGAATCTGTCTTACATGATTCTTGTTCACCTCATTAAACTTATCAGTTGCTCTTACATCCCTGTTCTGTCCTGCAAATGGTGGGAGTGGGGGGGGGGCTAACTTTCTCCCTATCTATCTTCATTCCTAGGGCTTCTTATATTTCAGCCTATACATTTTTAAAGCTTACAGGGCCAGCCACTGAAAGGAAGATGGATTTTGTCTCCAAGGTTAATGTGATTGCCTATGCAAAAATAGTAAGACTATCTCTGGGAGTTAGTCTGCCTGCCACAGACCCCTGAGATCATCTTTTCCACCGGCAGCACTATCAATGCATGAATGCCTGATATGAGCCCCAATGATGTTGTGCAAATTATGAAATTCATATCTACTGCACAACGACAGCATGGCGTGCATGATGTTGCTTCTCTCCCTCCTCTGTTGATCCAGATGCATTGATGTGTTTCCTCTACGACCATTGCGGTCACTATCTTGGTGATTTAAAGACCCAGTTCACACCCTGCATTAAGCCGGGGGTTTATTTCAGTTATAAAGGCTGGTTTAACCCCATTCGAAGCCAAACCAAATAGATCACTGCGGGGTTAAGGCAAACTTTGAAGGCCGTCTTTAGGGATGCTATTTGACTATATTGTTACTCTTGGGAAATTATAAAAAAAAGATTATCAGAACATTTAAATCCCATTTTAATGATTATCAGGCATCATTTTAATCATGATCTTGAAGGGGTTGTCCCCACTGAGTATCCATTCTGATTCTGACTCTTTACAGAATCCCCCAAAGTTCTTGTGAATTATGGAGGAATTTTTGGTCATTTAAATCCTACCACATTCTAGCTAGAATTGAGTGCCTCCTTTTATGTTACCAACGTGTTTGTGTTTCTCTGTAGTCTCTTAGTTCTGGTCATCCTCAACATGATGCTGTTCTACCGGCTGTGGTCTCTGGAGCACACAGCCCGAACTGTGGAGTCATGGCAGACGTATGCACTCTCCAATGGGTGAGAAAGACTCTCTGGGAAAGAGAAAATGGGAGACTTCTTTTACTCTTAAGAGATTTTGAGAATTTAATGCCCAGCTAATATAGCAATAGCACTTAGACTTATATGCCACTTCATAGTGCTTTACAGCACTCTCTAAGTGATTTACAGAGTCAGCATGTTGTCCCCAACAATCTGAGTCCTCATTTTATTGACTTCAGGAGGACAGAAGGCTGAGTCAACCTTGAGCCCGTCAGGATCGAACTCCTGATGGTGGAATGCAGAGTCAGCCTGCAATACTTGCATTCTAACCACTGCACCACCACAGTTCATAGATATGGGGTCCTGAATTCTCTCAGAAATCTTGGCAAAATGCAGTTTGAATTGAAGGAAAGGGAGAACGATCTTCTCACGGTAGCTTACTGCTGGTTTAATATAATTTAGTATTTAGGTCAAGAAATATGCTGCAAATTAGCAGCTGGAATGGTAGCAATGGAGACCTTGAAAAAAATGCTCTGATGTCTTAATGAGCCAATATTTACAAACATCAGACTATGCAAGCAATGGGCTTCCTTGTGACACCTTATAGAAGTGAAATTTGGACTTTGAAGAAGCAGCTTTGGATCTTTGACGTTGGATAACACTCCTTGAGAATATAATGCAGAGCCAAGAAAATAAGCAATAGATAGATCATAGAACAAATCTGTTCAAGACTTCTCACTCACAATACAAATAACCAGATTCAAATGTTCATATTTTGGACACATTATGTAAAGCTCTAACTCCCTTAAGAAGTTTATAATGCTGGGAAAGGTAGAAGGAGAGAGAAGAGGATGTTCATCAGTAAGGTAGATGGACTCAATTACAGTGGCAATGGCTACACTTCTGGACGAACTGAAGGACCAGATTGGGACAGACCATCTGAAAGAACATCTACCTATGTGATTGCTCAGAGTAGATGCTGACCAACCAGTCCATCAGTAGATGCTGATCAACCAGTCCATCAGTAGCATTTATGGCTGGGGATTTCCATGAGTTGGAGTCTTCTCTGATATGAAAATATTTTTAAATTAGCCAGAATTAAATTATGTATGTTTATACATGTGATGCTTTTGAACCATTTTGACCATTTTGCTTTGCAAAACCTTGATGCTTAAAATGTAAAAAATGTAGTCATAACAATATTGCATCTTATTGTTGAAAGGCTGGGTATAAATCAATAAAGAGACAGCAGAAACCCAAATAGATACAAGTGGACTAATAAACATATTTATTAACAAAATATTTTAAAGCATATCATGACCCCTCAAAAGGAAGCCAAAATTATTTACATTCCTTGCTGAGTTAGATCTTTAGTGGTAAACCAAGATTTGACTCTATGTGAAACAAAGATGATGAATTATCCAGCGTACTTTAAAGGAATTATCTTTATTGTATCTGTAAAGTTTTTCAAGTGCTTTTAAACAGTGATGAACCTAAGACTTACAATTTGTTTTGAGCACAACTTTGGAAAACATACTGTCTAACATTGAAATGTTCTGGGTTATTGCCTGGAAAAGCATATCGTAATTCAAATAAACATGTCAGGCTTTTAGTCTATCCCTAAGGAGGACAGAGAATCAATTCTTTTAAGCGAATTTATCTTATAGAGAAGTTAGGATAAAACAAAGAAAGAGTACCACTTTTTGGTGGAAAAGTGAGATATAAATGTATATTAAACAGGTGGATGAAAACAGAGGATCAGTAAATTATTTGAAATATTGCTTGACAGGATTTAGGAAGCTGATGCCCTTTGCCTTTGTATAGCCAATGGAATTAATTAATTGCTCTGTAATAAATGCAGTCCACTGAGTGGAATAAACAATAAAACAATATAAAACCCAATTTAAAAAATCCCACCATACAGTAACCGAGAGAAAATCATTGGCAATAAAATGCTGTGAACTTCTAACAGTTTTTAAAATGCTTGAGCAAATGAAATGTTTTTTGTTTGACATAGTGAAGCTGTAAGATAGGTACCAGAGTCTTTTGATGAAGGATTCCTAAAACTTGGGTTGTGCCTTTTTTAGAAGGACGCTTGGAAAGTTTTCAGATGAAGACCATCCATCAAGGTTGACCAACCAAGAGTTGGATGTGTCTTGCAAATTCCAGAAACCCCAGGTAGATGCAACCTGATTTTCTGATAGGCCTAACTTGCTTCTAAAATAGAATTATAACCCTCCTTCCATACCTCTAAAGCCCAAATGGCCATAACATCTCACCCCTTCCAATATGTTTTAGGATATTGCCCTAAATTGCTATAAAAAGTTTATAGAGAATATAGCTTCTCCCCCAGCCTTAGAATCAGGGCAGTTAGGTTCTTGAAGGCCAAATGACTTCTGCATTAAACACTAGTGAGGGGTGTGATAATTCACAGAAAGTGAACTCAAGAAGCAGACACACTGCTGATCCATCATAGTTAAGAAAATTTTGTCTCCTTGCCTGGCAGGAAACTTCCACAGACAGCCTCGGAATGGGCAGAGATTCTGGAGTTGCAAAAACAGTTCCATAGTGTGGAGGTGCAAAAGTGGAAACAGATCCTGAAGGCATCAGTGGAACTTCTGGATGAGGTGAGCTCTCCAGTTTGAATGTTCTCCCAGTCCTGCTAGATCATTAAAAATGTGAGAAACCATGCCCCAACTCTTGGTTTCCAGAAGCCCTTTTTAGTGTCAAGAGATTTCCATCAGATGTTGACCATACAGTGGAGATTAAGAGATATCGGACTTCATTCCTACCGTCCCTTATCATTGTCAGGCAGGTTGGTCCTGATGGAAGTTGAAGTTCAAATGGGCAGGAAGGCACCAGATTGTCTACCTCTATACCAAAGGTTTTGAAACCAGCTTTTGTAACTTCAAAGCAAGGATGGGGAATCGGTGGCTCTCCATATCTTTTTGAAGGATCTTTGGGGTTGCCAGATCCAGTGATGGGAGAAGCACAGATTCTCCATCCTTATTTCTTTAACAAAAAGTGGAAAATCCAAAATCTTAGGATATCGAATTGGGTACCCAACACTCATATTTGACTATGAATGGCGACAGTTTAAGCAAGCCTTTAGTATCCCAATTCCTTCAAGATGTGTTGAAACAATTGTATGGAAGTCACAAGGTTACAGAAGGCTGGCTTAAGGCTCGTCTACAAGTGGAGCACAAATGTGCGGTGAAATACTGGTGGGATCTTTGCCTATAGGTTGGGTTCAACCAGTATCTTGATATCTCTGGTTGATGGTTTGTGGTGTTTTGTGAAAGCAACCAGTTCTGCCTTGTCCAGCAAAACGCAGAGCTTAATATGTTATGTGAACTCAAGCAGAGCTTCCTTCTTCTTGGTTGGGGCAATGCTTTCCTCTTTGGGGAATAACTTATTCTTCATTTTCCACCAGATGAAACTCTCCCTGGAGAAGTTGCAGCAAGGCATCATGGTGGCAGAGCCGCCATTGGAACCGGAGTGAAGCCACAGCATCTCCCTCTCTCTCTTTTGAGGAGGTTGCTGAGTTACCAGAAAGAAGACTGCTGAGATCCATCTCAGAAACTGTTGAATCAGTGGTGTGGGCATCCTGTGGGAGGAGACAGCACTGTGCTTCTCACCGGATCCATCACCTGGACATTATCCTCAAGAGTGCCACTGGTAGCAATGGATCTCTTGGTGGAACCCGTTTTGCCGGGAACATCTCTCTTGGATCACTCTTCCTGAGATTGTTCCTGTAGGGACTTCTCTTCATCCCTTTCCCACATCAGTGGTATTTATATTGCATCCAGGACCCCCAAGAATCCTTGATTTCCCTGTATCCTGGCACCGGTTCTTTTTTCCAGCTATTGTTTGGGGAGGAAGGAGGGTGGGATCAGTTTTGGGCGGGGGATGGCCTCTGGAGCGGGGATCTACCTTTTGCACTGAAACTTCACTCAATAGCTAAGATAGCCTAATGGAGAACAGCAAAGAACCAAGTTCTGCCATTCCCTTCCTTCCCTCCCTCCCTCTCTCTCATACACACACACACACACACACGCACAAGCGATCATGAACAGAGCTGTGGTGGCGCAGTGGTTAGAATGCAGTATTGCAGCTAATTCTCCCGACTGCCTACTGCCAGCAGTTCGGCAGTTTGATCCTGACCAGCTCAAGGTTGACTCAGCCTTCCATCCTTCCGAGGTCGGTAAAATGAGGACCCAGATTGTTGGGGGCAATAGTCTGACTCTGTAAACCGCTTAGAGGGGGCCATAAAGCACTGTGAAGTGGTATATAAGTCTAAGTGCTATTGCTGTTGCTCTTGATGGTGGGGTGAAAGCAATTCAGAGGCTCCAAGGGGGTTCATTCCTCCATCAGCTCTCTTCCCTGCTGCTCCCCTGCCCTGTCTTTTCTGCCATTGGTGGGCAGATTGTCAACGTTCTTCAAAGGGATCTTCCCAACCAATTACCTCCGATAGGGTAAAGCATCTTCAGCCCCGCATTTTCACACACAGAAAAGTAGGGGGGCTGGACTACAGCATCTTCTTGTTGATGGCATCTGTTATCACAGAAAACTTTCTGAACAAGGGGTCACCCTTGAAGTGTCCCTGGAACTTTGAAAGATACATACACCAGCACTTCTGTATACACACATATAGATGCTGGAGTCCGTCCAGTCCTTTTCTGAGTAGTATCTGAATTCTGAAAGTATCATCTGAGCCCTGCTCACCTCGACTGTGTTTACGCAACACCAAATCCAAATGTCTGATGAAAAAGCACACTTGTCTTCCCACTGTGCATGGTCAGTCATCAATTTAATGCAGGGTTTCTAACCTTCACCATTTTTAGATGTCTGGACTTCAACTCCCACAATTCCCCAACCAGCATGGGGAATTCTGGGAGTTGAAGTCCAGACATCTTAACATTGCTAAGACTGAAAAACGACAACTTACTGTGTGTAATCTGGACCAGAAATAGTCACCATTTGAGGTTTATTGAAAATGGGACTTTGTAGCCAAGGCAGGTTACAGGTTTATGTATTCCGTAACCTCCAATGGCGCGGCTTTTTTTTTTTTTGAATTTGGAAAACACTTTAAAACTCTGTTAACAAATGGTATATAGCTATTGAGAGGATGGGTAAAGTGCTAACGTTTGTTCTCGTTCACCAGGCATTTGGTTTGGTGCGCCAGGCAAACCGAGATAATTTAGTACATAGTGCTCCAAATGGTGCTTTTTAGGAAATGTTGTATCTGGGTGCAGCCAAGAAGGGTGGTTCCATTTGGGTTTTATTTTTTTAAACCCTGTGCAGCATGCCATGTGTGCCACATGGGAGACTCTCACATCAGCCTCGTGGATAACAGCAGCTGGGCCTTGCCTTCCCACAAAGAAGCTGTACTGTCCACTATAAAGTGAAGTTTCACTGCCAATCTTGGCCTCTAAGCCCTTCAAATATACTGCCAGGGGCAGGGAGGGGGCATTAAATCTGCCCCCTCCTGGAGAGGGGGTTATGTGTCTGTCAACTCTGTGTTCCCTTTCCCCCAAAACCTGGGAGACCCAGGTTTCAGACCCTCTCCCTTTTTTACCCTTCTCCCATTAAAATTGGGGTTGGGAGAGGGAGGGAGGGAGGGGCGGTCTCTTTCCTTCATTTTTTGTAGATCTGTTCAGTATTAATAATCCAGTGTGTTTGCAGTTCCAGAAAAGAAAAAGAAAAAACGCCAGGGCTTATTTATTAGGAGTGAAATAAAGACCGTGGATCGGAGTTTGCAGTGCCTTCGTGAGTGTCTTTTTGGGGGAGGGATGCATTTTTAAAAATGTTTTGTCTAAAATATGTTTGCCTTGCTTTTTTTCCGTTGTGCCTACATTTTGCTCTTGTCTGGCTTGCAAGATGGATGTCAGCCTTTTGAAGTAGGCCAGTTTGGGGACCAGACACCACAAGAATTACTGGAATTTCACTTTATTGTTGCGGTGGGTAATAACAGAATCTTGAGAAGCCCTCTACCTTCTTACACCAAAGAAAGTCAAACTGGGCTTATCTTGAGTTTCTTTCTCATCCCTTCTTCTTTTCCAAAACTTAGCAGACTTTTGTTTAACTGTTTTTTTGCATTCCGTGTCCCTGAGATGGACAAAAGCATGATTGAAATGCATGCCCCACCCCTTTTGCACATGTGCCCATGATGTCACAAGGATATACAAAAGGGGTACAGCTCACAAGGGGGTGTAAGAATGATCTTGGAAGGCAGGAGGAAGACAGGCAAGACACTAATTAGACAAGGGATGTCTCAGCTCACAGAAGGAATGGGAGTGTAGAAACCATCTCAAAAGGGACTGTCCCTCATTCTCTGGAAAGTAAAAATAAGAGAGGGGAGAGGTGCTTTCAGACTTGCAAGATTTTGTTATTATAAGCTTACAATAAAGGTAGTGTTAGTTGCAGGATCCAATTAGATCAAGGATCTATTGGAGAGAGGTTCCCCGAGGATGGACTCCAGCACAAGTCTGAAAGCTTGGAAGATTAAACCTCTGGTCCTGGTGACCAACCCAGATTGGAAAACATTATCCTGGGACACGTAAATTAGCCTTCATTCATAGTGTTAGTACTCATAGTTTTGGTTCCCTGTCTGGACTTGCTTGAAAGGCTGGTTACTTGATGATATCTTGCTTTTATCTTGACGAAGGCAGCAAGAAAATCAAATGCATTTATTTATATCTATACTACTGGTCCTATAGGGGAGCTGATGGGAGCATGCAGTACTTCTGCCCATCTCCAGTTTTCCTACTTAAAACAATCCTACAATTAGATCAAGGTGAAAGACAACTGCCCACAACTGCCTTCCTTTTTTTTTGTTTTGTTTGAGCTCTGCCCTTGTGCTTTAGTGAAAGAAATGTATTTATTTTTCAGTGTATCCCGTGCAAGGCCAAAATAGCTCCTTTGGTTTATTGTCAAACTACAATATTGAATTATTTCTCTAAAGCCAGAACTGCATAAAAAGTCAACATTGACTCATTACATTCTAAGTTAATATCAAAAGGTTTCTCAAGAGAGCAGTTTGATGAATTATAACAGTTAAGGCAGTAATGGCGAACCTTTTAGAGACCGAGTGCCCAAACTGCAACCCAAAACCCACTTATGCATCATCGAGTGCTAGGTGGGTGTGGCCCATTGGCTGGGTGTTGCCAATTAGGTGGGCATGGCTGCGGTGGTAATGGCAGACTAGGTGGGACTAAAAAGTTAAATCAATCAGTTCCAACTTTGCAAGATCTTTTTGAGAAGTTGAAATTGACTGAACCTTTTTTTTTTTTTTTTGCACATGGTGGTGGAGGCCTAAAGCAAAAAGGGTTTATAAAACCCAGCTGAAGGCTTAGGACTGGGGCGACGGCACATGTGCCCACAGAGAAGGCTCTGAGTGCCGCCTCTGGCACCTGTGCCATAGGTTCGCCACCACTGGGTTAAGGGATTAGGCTAGAAACCAGGAGACGGTGAGTTCTAGTCCTGCCATAGGCATGAAATCTGGCTGGGTGACCTTGGATGGGGCACTCTCTCCCAGCCCTAGGAAGAAGGCAAAGGCACTTTTGAAAGATATTGCTAAGGAAACTGCAAGAATTAGTCTAGGGCTAGGCAATTACTAGGAGTCAACAATACCACTTGGACACACACACAAACATACATCCAAACTTCTCTAGGTTTTCAGGATTGCCATCACTCATGGGACTTGTGCAGGCAAAGACAGACACAAAGCCTTTTAGACTGACCCCCCTCTCTGCCTGGAGCTAATTCTAAACATGCTGCAATCCCCTTCTAAGTTACCGTGACTCTCCAGGGGTTCCTAACCAGCAGGCTGAAAAGCTCTTTTGACATTTAGGATTTATTTTTTTTTAAAGCATGGTTGGTAGAATTTGTGCCATCTACACACATAATCCCCATGATGGTACTTGATGCTACTTGCATATTTTTGTCCAGCAGATGTGATCAAGTCAAGCCTTTATGGTCAAAGCCCAAGACCAGCATTCATGCAAAACTAAGACTAAACTAAAACTGCAATGGGGTAAAGAGCAATAGCAGCTTTGTTACTACTGAATGCCATTGCAACAGATAGCTGACCTTGGTTGATGGTGACAAAAACCTGCTCCTGCTTTATGGCCCATTACAAGGGTTCCTTGATAGGTAAAAGATGCAGAAAACATTTGCCAATGCTAATCTAGATTCTTGTCTTCGTCCCGCTATAGGTAGTCCTTGATTTACTATCATTCATTTACTGACCATTCAAAGTTCCAAGCTTACTTACTCCAGAAGCTTTGAGCTGGCCATTCAAAGTATTTCCCCTAATAATTTGGAAAGTAGAATTTCATCCAGAGTTGGTCACATTACAGAAAAGATGTTGAGACTTTGGAAGAAGTGCAGAGAAGAGCAACTAGGACAGTGATGGCGAACCTTTTAGAGACTGAGTGCCCAAACTGCAACCCAAAACCCACTTATGCATCGTCGGGTGCCGGGTGGGTGTGGCCCATTGGGTGGGCATGGCCCATTGGGTGGGCGTGGCTGCGGTGGTAATGGCAGACTGGGACTAAAAAATTCAATCAATCAATTCCAACTTTGCAAGATCTTTTTTTTTCCCGCGAGAAGTTGAAATTGACTGATTCATTGAACCTTTTTTTTTTTTGCACACGGCGGCGGAGGCCTAAAGCAAAAAGGTTTTATAAAACCCAGCTGAAGGCCTAGGACTTGGGGCAATGGCGCACGTGCCCACAGAGAAGGCTCTGAGTGCCGCCTCTGGCACCCGTGCCACCACTGAACTAGGTTTGCCACCACTGAACTAGGATGATTAAAGGCCTGGAAATGAAAACATATGAAGAATTATTGTAGGGTTTGGGTTTGGCTAGTCTAGAAAAAAGAAGGACTAGGGGTGACATGATAGCAGTATTCCAGTATTTGAGAGGCTGCCACAAAGAAGAAGGGGTCAAATTATTCTCCAAACCATCAGAAGTCAAGATAAGAAACAATGGATGTAAACTAATCAAGGATAGAAGTAACCTGGAATTAAGGAGAAACTTCCTAACTGTGAGAACAATTAACCAGTGGAACAGCTTGCCTTCAGAAGTTGTGGGTGCTCCATCACTGGAGGTTTTTAAGAAGAGACTGGACAGCCATTTGTCTGAAATGGCATAGGGTCTCCTGCTTGAGCAGGGGGTTGGACTAGAAGACCCTCAAGGTCCTTTCCAGCTCTATTCTGATTGATTGATTGATTGATTGATTGAATTAATTAATTAATCTACAGTCAGGAGCTTCACTTTGCCCATGTGCAGTCAGTCTCTCCAACTAGGCTAGGACTAAGACTTTGTCAACTTTGCAATTCAACCAAGAAAAAGTAGCAAAACAAAAAGGACAATATTGGGCTGGAGTGAGCATAAAAGGAAGAGATCGGGAATTTAATCTCCCCTGCAAGTTAAGCTACCGGAATTCCCTCCAGCCTTCTGGACCACCGCAATAACCAGGAGGCTCTCTGGGGGTGTGCAAAGTGTTTTTCATACTCCTCACCCAGTCCTCAACAACTAGCAGTTTGGAAAACTTTCCTTCCGGTCCACTGGACCTCCCACCCTCGTATTTTCCCAGAAAAAACTTCTCTAGGCCGAACCGAGGATTAGAGCAGGGACTCAACGCTGGGAGGTGGGGGAGGTGGGGGTGCCTCGGGACGGGCTCCGCAGCCACTGCGGAGAGTGACGCATCCCTCCTCCGCCTATGGTCGTGTTTCCATTCCCCCCCCCGCCTCCCCCCCGCGGCCCACGCTGCCTCTTCCTCGCTCACGTTCCGACGATCGCCAGATTTCGGAGGCGGGCGGGGGAAGCCACTGCGGGCCCAGCCCGGCTCGCCCGGCTTCCTACCTTTATTCCCCCTTCCACCCCTGGAGCTTTAGGCCCGCGTGGCTTCCCCCCGGTTACGCCGCCGCCTGCCGCCGCCGCCGCCGCTGCTGCAATGCATCAAGTTTGGCGGCGCCCGCCTCCTCCTCCTCCGCCTGGCGCACGCTTTGATTCATCCCTCCTCGCCCTGTCCAGCAGCGAGCCAGAGCAGTTCCCGGGCGGCTCAGCCTCTGCCGCAGCGGTGCGCGCCGCCGGAGAAGGCTAAGGAAAGGGGGAGCGGGGTAGGTCGCCGCGGGGGCGAAGGAAAGAGGCGAAGCGGGGTGTGTGGGGGGGGGAGAGGAAGCGAGGAGTCGTCCAGCGAGCCAGCCGCTCGCTCCCGGGCGGGCCCGATCCCTCCCTTCCCTTCCCTTCCGCATCAAGCGCAGGAGCTCCAATCGATCCTTCTTCCTTTAGCGGAGCCAGGCTCCGCGAGATCGGAAGGCGGGGACCGCAGCGGCTCCGACCCCCGTTGCAGCGCGCCAAGGTTTCAGCCAGCCGGCCGGCCGGCGAAGAAGCTATGGATCCGGCCCTCTCGAGTCCCGCGGAGGCACCTGTCCGAGGAGGCGGCTGATCTCGGGCTCCTCCTGGGCGCCAGCGGGAGAGCTTGCCTTTTGCAAAGGGGCTTGCTTGGAAAAGTGGTCTTTTTTCTTTCTTTTCTTTTCTTTTTTTAAAGAGGAGGCGTCTCATTTGGAGAGAAGCGACACCCTCCCCCACCCCAATTGAGACAAGGCTTCGGGAAGACCGCGCGGGGGGCTTCCTCGCGGGCCGGGGGAGCCGCGACCTTTCAGCCGAGCAGGGCCGCAAGCCTCCACCTTTGTCGGCCCGGGCGCCCCTTGAAGCCGAAAGGACGCGGGAGAGCGCGGGTGGCCGAGCCTTGGGCGGCGCGATCGGGAGCAGCAGCCGCCGCCGCCTTGCCCGTGGCTGGCTGAAGAAGGGGACCCGCTTCCCGCCGCGCCGCCGCTCGCCTGCCTTTCCTCGGGCCCATCCCAACTTTTATGGCTCCCCCAGCAGCCGGCCGCCTCCTCTGCTTCTTCGTGCCATCTCGCTCCCCGGCTTGGGTCCCTCGCAGACCCGGGGCGACGAGGGCAGCAGCAGCCGCCGTCGTCGTCGGGGCCAAGAGCGGCGGAGCGCCTCGTGCGGCCGACGTCCGTGCAGATCCCGGGGAGGAGGATCGGGTGTCCGAGGCAAGGGCAGGTGGATCCGGCTGGGACATTCCGAGCCCCGCGGCGGGGTTTCCTTCGGGTCGGCCGCTGAGCAAGCTATAAATACCCTCCCGGGAAGGTTCTTGCCCAGGATCGTCTGACTGTTGACCGCAAGAGGTTGCTTGGGAAGGGCGGGACGAGCCCACCGGAGCGGCCCACCTCCCGGCCGAGAAGGGAGCGCACCCTGGATCCGATCCCCCAGCATGGCCGCCCCGCGACCCCTCTCGCTGCTGCTCGGCCTGGCCCTGGGTGAGTTGGACGAACAGGGCGAGCATGGGGGGGGGGGGCGTGGGGAGAAGGAGAAGAACACGCGGGAAAGGGGGGGGGCGGTTGGAGAAGGTCCGAGCAGACGTCGTGGGACCCCGGAGGGTGCCCGGGGAGCCCGGCATAATGGCGAGTCTTCTTTCCCCATTGAAGTTTCGCCCCTCGGGCTGCGCGTGGACGCCGGCGGGCGCAGGCCTCGCCGGGATAGGAGGAAGCCTTTGCCCCCCCCTCCAGCCCCGACCCAGCCCGCCTTTACTCCTCAAAAAGGCCTCTCGGCACGTGATTTGGAGGTTTTCTGAACGCGGTAAGCAAATAAACGTGTCCGGGAAGGCCTCTTGCCGCTTTGCGTTTTTTTCGTGCCAAGAGAAGGAAGAGTTCAGTCCGGGATGCTCTCAGTTTTCTTGCTGGTTTTCTCTACCGCAGGTTAGGCCTGGACTTTTAGGTCTGTGTGATGTGTGGGCTTGGATGGAGCTAATGCAATTGCTTCCCCCGCCCCCCCCCCCCCAAAAAAAACTTTTTCCCCTTTTACTTTTGGTGGGGGAGGGTTGTCCCCTAAAACTCCTGATGCCTTAATCCAGGCCAGGGTCTCCTCTTCACTGGAGACAACCTGGAATTTCTTGCAAATGAATGAAATGAAATCACAGTGGGTGGGTGGAGGAAAAAAAAAGAGAAACTTAAAAAGATGCCTGGAGGTTTGAAGGGGGCTTCAAGGAGGATCCCTACTGGAGACAGGGGGCTTACGACATGTAGTACCTATGACATGTAGTACCGAGCAGAGTTCAGGGCAGGACCTCCAAACACAGATTTCTTTCTGACTCAACGGAGGGAATTGTGTTTTGTAACCTTGGATTTCCAGAGATGGTGGATGGCAAGGTCCCTCTCCTAGCTGTGCAGGGGCAGAGGTGTGCAGGGGTGGCAACCATGCTGCAGTCAGATTGGCAAAGCGATTGAAGAAAGAGTATGAACGGTAAACAAGGTGAACTAGAAATTCAGGTTAATGAGGGCAGATATGATATTGTTGCCATTACAGAATCATGGTGGGATAAAACCCACAAATGGAACACACAGCTAGAGGGATTTAAATTATTTAAAAGAAACAGACCAAATAAAAGAGGAGGTGGAGTTGCTCTCTGTATAAAAAATAACTACATCTCTACAGAAATAGAACACAACAATGATGAAAACTGCCCTGAATGCATATGGGTCAATATAAAAGGGGGGGGGGGGAGAAACGACATTGCCATAGGTGTATACTATAGGCCACCCAACCAAACAGAGGAAATAGATGAACTTTTTGCTAGCTAACTAAGGTATGTAGGAAGCACATCACAATAGTAATGGGGGACTTTAATTACCCTGACATCAACTGGGAGGCAAACTCTGCACCAAGTGGAAGATCAAACAGATTCTTGAGAAACCTAGCAGACAACTTTGTCTCCCAAAAAGTAGAGAAGGGAACTAGGGGATTAGCCATTTTGGATCTAATGCTCACTAACAGAGATAAAATGATAGAAGGTGTTGAAGCCACAGGAACCTTGGGAGTGATCATGTAATATTGGAATTCAACATTATGGGAGCACAAGCAATAGAACACAGTCAAACTAGAGTCTTGGACTTTAAGAGAGCTAATTTCAATAAACTTAGAGAGGGCTTGGGAAGGATTCCATGGATGAGAATCCTCAAGGGGAAAACAACTCAAGAAGCTTGGGAAATTTTGAAAAGTGAGATAATAAAAGCCCAGTCTAGCACAATACCAACAAAGAAGAAAAATAACNAGCATGGCTGCATAAAGAACTCTCTGATAAATTGAAAGATAAAAAGGACAATTTCAGGTCTCCCCCCCCCACTCAAATAATGCCACCTCTTGCATCAGTTGAAGCTGTTTTGCTAGCAAACTCTTAATGCATTTAAAGGTAGCCTTCATTTTCTTGCTTTTTTATGGAGCATGTATGGCGACAGGAGGCCATGCGTCCAATTTCTTTCCTCATTTTCTGCAGCTTCCAATCTCAGATATCCTTGCCGGTTTCAAAGGCCTTCGCCTCATCAGCCCCCTGGAGAGATAAAAGTTATTTTCTGATCCAGAGAAACATACTTTTCATTCAATGTCCTACAATGAAATTCGGCCTTCAGATGCCCAAGCCCTGCAGCACACAATCACAGGACCTTTGAGGCATTCTATAAAAGGGTGTGAAACTTTCCTTCATCTGTGTGTGTGGGCGGGGGAGAAGAATCTGGTTTTCCAACTAACAATTTTTATTAAAAGGCATATATTCCATAACCTAAAGCTCCTTGCGTCAGATGCATCTGATGCTACCATATCTGATCAGATGCTATTAGACTCTTGATTTTTTTTGTCACCGTAGATAAACACAGCTGTCCTCCTACAATGTCATCATCCTGCAAGAGTTGAAAAATAATTAACAACTTGAACAACATAACCTCCTCTTTCTCTCATCCAGGAATAGAATGGAAAATATATATAGTACCGTCACTTCCCAACCTGCTAGGCAAAAACAATTTTCAGCCTCAATTTTTATTTCCAGTTGTTCCTACTTTTTACAACCTACAAGATAAACCCATTTGTAGACAAAGCTGATGGATGGTAGTAACGTTTTTAAAACCATCAAAAGAAACAGAATGAGGATATTACAATAACAGAGTAAATACAGTGGTATCTTGGCACTCAACTGTTTTGAAACACAACTCAATTTGGTACTCAACACATTTGGATGTGAAAATTTTGTCCCAGTGTTCATCGTTTCTTTGGTACTCAAAGCACAGACTAGAACTTGTCATTCTCAGCTACCTTGTGAGTCACTACATTATTTCACATGGGAAAAAAATTGCTTGGTACTCATTGTGCTCCTGGAACCAGTTTAGATTAGATTAGGTTAGATAACCATTATTGTCATTTTTTCCTGTGGGTACAATGGCACACATTAAAAATTAAATTTAGTTGCTTCCTCTCAAAGTGTACATGATGAGTACTGGAGGTGCCATGGTAGGTAGGTAGGTAGGTAGGTAGATAGATAGATAGATAGATAGATAGATAGATAGATAGATAGATAGATAGATAGATAGATAGATAGATAGATAATGACATAGCATAGGACTTTCAAAATAATCCCTCTTCAATTTAATTCAATTTTGTCTTCAAGACAAAAACGAGACCAGCAACAGCAAATGAAGAAGTGAATTAAAATAAAGCATGTCATCATCAGAAGATATGAAAGTAATTTGGCTAAAAGTTCTTGTACAACAGTACTTTTCAAACTTGGCAACTTTAAAATGTGGGGACTTCAACTCCCAGAATTCCATGCTGGTTGGGGAATTATGGGAATTGAAGTACACACATTTTAAAGTTGCTAAGTTTGAAAAACACTGCTTGAAGAGGCCTTTGAAAAGTCACAGCAAGAGCTATGTATTTTGTTTTATGCTGCCCTTTTCTGAGATGTTTAACCTGGTTCATTTGTCTGTTTCCTTGAATAACAACTGAAAAGTAGGTTCATCTGAGAGATCATCATTTCCTTCGTTTGCACTTCATTGTGGCTAAATATGGATTTGACACTTGGCTATTCTCAGTCCTAGTTCATACCAGTATCCCCTTTGCCTCCTAGATGTTCTTAATCAGCCCCCGGTATATATTTTGGCAATTGTTCTTCCAATTTCATTCTGATTTTCAAACTTCCCTATCTGGTCACCTGCAATTGTTTGTTTTTTTCCTATTAGATGAGTCACCGTATATAAGAAACTCCTTCAGCTGAAGGACCTGGGTGTTTGGTGGAAGGAAAGAAGGAAAATTATATTGAACTCTTTTCTGGAAAGTGCTAGAGTAGTCTGGTTTTCTTTGACTTTAAGTGGTTTATCAATGAATAAACCAAATCAATGTTGGTATATTCCAGGGGTCTTCAAACTTGGCCCTTTTATGACTTGTGGACTTCAACTCCCAGAATTCCTCAGCCAGGTATATTCTGTTAGGCCACCAGGATCTCCAAAGTGGAGTGAATGGCTGCTGTAAGCGTGGTTGAGCTTTTTGTCAGAAATTCAGAATGTGTTTCATTAAAAGTGAGATTCTTTACACTTGGTTGTTCAGAACTCAGCTTGAGAAACCTAGCAACAAGGAAAGTGGACAGGTTCACATTAATTAGGCTTATAGAATCATATCGTATCATTAAACTAATTCATTAGAGCTATCTATCTATCATCTGTCCTCTGTCTTCTATTTACTTCTATCTATCCTCCACCAAGTCTCATCCATCCATCTTCAGGTTTTTATAGCTGCCCAACTCGCAGATGTGATTCTAGGCAACATACAATAAAACAATCAGTTAAAATAAATTTTAAAAAAACTATTAAAAACTTTACACACAAATATAAATACCGTAAGACTGTATGAGAATGGGCCAGCATCTTGCATGCACTGTAACCATCTTGCAGGCTCCCTGTTTCCGTGGGATCCCCAAGCCTGTTAGAGGAAGCAGGGATTTCCTAAATGCCAATAGGATCAGGACTAATGTCACTTGGGTGGAGGGATGTTGTTCCAAAGGGTGGGAGGCCACAGATGAAAAGGCCTTGCTCCTGAATCCCATCCGAAAGAGCTCCTTAGCGGATGGGGCTCGGAACATGCCGTCCCTGCTGAACCTGATGGGATGGGAAGATGTAACTAGGGAGGAGAGGCTGTCCCTCAGTTTGAGTTCATGTCATTTTAAATTAGAAGCTGAGTTGGGAAATGGGATAAAAAGGTGTAATGGCTTAAAGCAGTGGTGGGATTCAGCTGGTTCACACCACTTCAGCAGAACCGGTAGCTAATTTTTTCATTGCCCAGGCCCAGAATGGACTTCCGGAAGCGGCATACACACAGAGAACCGGTTGTTTACCTATTTGAATCCCACCACTGGCTTAAAGCCAGAAAGGCAACATGAAGCCATTTGCTGATCTCTGCACCAGATGTAAAAAGCTCCAATCCCTGTGCTGCAGCATGTCGTATCTCCAAAATGTGCAGTGTGTATTTTATGTAACAAGAATTTAAGATTGTGTAGTCAATCGAGGCGTGATGGGATGAGCTCCAGTTACATGCCCCAGCTCCTGCTTATCTAGCTCGAAAGCATTGGAAATGCAAGTAGATAAACAGGTACCACTTAGGTGGGAAAGTAACAGTGTTCCGTGCACCTTTGGTGTATCGCCATGCTGGCCACATGACCATAGAAATATCTTTGGATATTAGCTCCCTCAGCTAAGAAACTGAGATGAGCATCACCCCTAGATTTGGAGAGGACTGGATAGGCCGCAGCGGTAGGCAACCTCGGCTCTTTTATGACTCATGGACTTCAACTCCCAGAATTCCTGAGTCAGCTATGCTGAGTCAGAAGTCCATGAGTCATAAAAGAGCCGAGGTTGCCTACCCCAGAACCTTTACCTTTATAGTTGATTTATTTATTTTATTCTTACCCTGCCTTTTTTATTTTGTGTAAGTAACTCAAGGTGGAAAACATACTTAATACTCCTTCATCCTCCTGTTTTTCCCACAACAAGAGGAGAGGATGCCTGACCCAAGGTCACCAGTTGACTTTCATGCCAAAGGCGGAACTAGAACTCACAATCTCCTGGTGATTAGCCCAAAGTTACCCAATTAGCTTTCATGCCTAAGATGGAACTAGAACTCATGGTCTCCTGGTTTCTAGGCCTGTACTTTAACCAATATACCAAACTGACTCTCTAATGCAATCCTGTGTGCTACTTTTCTTTCTGAAAGGCAGTGTTCAATGGAGCCTCCACATCTGGTGGCAATATATCTTTAAATACCAGGTGCCCTGGAGAGATATCCTGGAATATCTTGCTAATATTTCTTGACAAAAAGCTACTAGATTAGATGCATGGTAATACTAGCTAGGCTCTTGTGTTTTTCTGTGTTGGCCTCCATACAAAGTTGTCTCCTCAGAAGGCACAGAATTGTCATTGCTTGTCTGAAAGTGTTTCTTGTCCCTGGAATATTGTGTGTTCTTGCTTTAAATGACATAGCAAACTATTTCTTAGAATTGATAGGGGGTTCAGTAGTGTCCAACCTTGGCGACTTTCAGACTTGTGGATTTCAACTCCCAGAGTTCCACAGACAGCATGGCTGCTTAGGGAATTCTGGGAGTTGAAGTCCACACATCTTCAAGTTGCCAAGGTTGGGCAACCCTGATCTAGAATGTTTTCTCTCCTAATCTAAATCTAAATTCTAACTCTCAAGAATATTGGGGCAATCTGAAATTACTTAATGGTTCATAAAATATCCTTTGCATATATTCAAACATACAATGCTGCTTCCATTCAGTTCCAGTTTCTGCTGCAGCTGTTTGGCTCTGGGCCTGCCTCCAGCTGATTTTCTGGAAAGCCTTTGGAATTAGAAGTTCCAAAGCAGTTCCATTACTGAGCAAATCAATGGCCTCACTTTAGATTGTGTGAACCTCTTTGCAAATGACACACAAATAATATCCTCTAAAAAAACAGTAACCAAATTTGTAGGTGCATGTTTATATCAGGTGTGGTCCTCTCCGGCTCTTGTGTGCATTGAATGGAGGGGCAGTCTTCTGTTGTACAAACCAATGTGTCTGGAGTCTTTTGCTTAGGTGGCAGGATTGTAACTGTGCTGTAATGGGTTATAACAATAATTAATCTGTTATGAATGTTTCCAGCAGCTTAGAGCCATTGGCTTTCTTATCCTAGGTTTGCCTTTTGTGCATTTATTGACGTAAGCTTCTCTCCTCTGGACATTGGACAGCTTTGTGCAGAAATTAATTTTCAGTGGGGCTTATTGCTAGATGCCCAGGAATTGCAGCGTTAAAGATCTAGAATCTAATAAATTCTAACTGGTTCAATATTGAAATTACAGAGAAAGTAACATCTTAATAGGAAATTGAGTACCTTATTAGAGATGGGGAAAAGGGTCATAATTGTTTAAAAATCCCAGCAAAGTAGGCTGTTAGCGTTAAGCAAGTTGCACATTGGTGGAAATGTTTGGTTTTGGATGCTGTTTAAAATGAATGCTCAGCCCATTTTCCAATCATTAAATTTGCAGAGCTCTCGCTCAAGTGCTGTTTGACAGCTTGTGGGTTGAGGCCAAATGGTGCTTAGAAAGAAGGTACATTGCATCTCAAAATCTCCCAAGTTGACAATTCTGTAAAATTCCCACAGCGGTAAATGTTCCCCAGGCTCCTGAATATTGTGTTTCTCTGTCACCTTTGCAACTTCTGAGAAACCAAAATGGGGAGGAGCCTAGATTTTTATACATGCTCAGAGTTTTCAGTTTGGTGGGTATCTGTTGCCAAATTAAGCAATGAGTTACAGGTCATTCTCGATTTACAACCGCAATGGAGAGCAGAATTTCTGTGGCTAAGCAAAGCAGTGGTTCACTGAGTTATGCCTGCTATAACTTTTTCTTTTGACCTGGTTGTAAAGTGGATCATTGCAGTTGTTAATTGAATAACATGGTCATTAAGCAAATCTGGCTTCCTCCATTGACTTTGCTGCCTGGGAAGATCACAAACAGTGATCATGTGACCTCACTCAGGATACTGCAACTGTTGTAAATACATATCAGTTGCCAAGCACTCAAAAAATTTATCACATGACTGTGGGGACGCTGCAGTGGTCATAAGTGCAAGGACTGGTCACGTCAGTTTTTTCCAGTGCTGTTGTAACTTCAGTCTCTAAACAAATTGTTGTAAGTCAAGGACTATCTGAACATTATTGTAGCTTTAGTTGCACACTTTCATCTTCCTGTTTCAATGCATAATCTGTCCTTCTCCAGAAGCTGGAGTAATTTATCTGATTACAATTTTGGCAGCTACGGGAATGAACTTCACTGAACTCTGTGAGGTTTACTTTGGAATAAACATGCATCAGATTACACTATCTGTGATTGCTTCCTCTTGGGATAGTTCTTCCTTAGGCATGCAACTCTCTCTCCTTTTAAATTTATTTTATTTTATTTTATTTTTTTCAAAAAGGAAAACAAAGTGCATGCCAAAACATCCTTTCTCCACCTCCCTGCTTGCAGTTCAATTTCTATGATCAACTTCTATGACCAACGTCAAATGAATGGGCAGGTTAAAGTATTTGCTGAGACCCCAAATTTCTAAAAAGGAGGCTATCAGCATATTCACCTGCCACTCTGTCTCCTGTTGGGAGATAAAGCTGAGTGGGATCTCCATAACAGAAGCCTATTTGAAGCAAGGGATTTTCAAAGAGGTGCTTCAACATGACATTCTGCTGCTTGGTGCTTCACAGCTGAGTTTGGCTGGGTATCCAGGATGGCTGGAGATATATTTACATAGTCAGAAGCATTTTTGAAGCTTCGTATAAACTGCTTTATCACTTTTTGAAGGAAAAAAAATCATCCTTGTTCAGATTTAAACTAAGAATGCCTGGTTCACAAACTATATATCATTATGGTGAAGTAAATCAACTCCAATCAATCAGAATAGAGTTGAAAGGGACCTTGGAGGTCTTCTAGTCCAACCCCCTACTCACGCAGGAAGCCCTATATCATTTCAGACAAGTGACTGTCCAGTCTTTTCTTAAAAACCTCCAGTGATGAAGCACCCACAACTTCTGATGGCAATCTGTTCCGCTGGTTAATTGTCCTCATTGTTAGGAAGTTCTTCCTTCATTCCAGGTTGCTTCTTTCCTTGATTTGGAATGATGACAAATAATGGTGATATCCATATAAATATTAAGGTTTAGAGTTTTGTCGCGATTTACTGTATGCTACTTCCTAAGATGATATGAGGAATCTACTTTTATATATTCCTTTAATTATTTAACCATTGAAGTACGGTAATAAATATTATATTTTATATTTTATTTTGTTCCTTAAAGATTTTAAAATAAAATCTTTAAAAAAAAAACAGAGGATGTAAAAGCTGGAAACAGATCAGGAGGGTTTTTTTTTTAATATCTGTCTGTAATTTTTCTGATTTCTTCTCTTTCAGTGACCCTGTGCCAAGGTGGCTGCGTGGAGGTGGAAGCAGACACGGAGGCCGTAGTTGGCAATACTTTCAAGATCCGTTGCATCTCGTGCAAAAAGCGCAGCGAAACAGAGGCCGAAGCTTTTACTGAATGGTACTTCAAAGAAGAAGGGACAACCGACCTGGTCAAGGTGAGTCCTGGAGCAAAGCAGGAAGATTTTAGGAGAGCACTACCTGCTCTTCAGCTGTTTGTTAACTGAGGCATTTGTTAAGTGAGTTTTACCCCATTTCTTGCCCCAGTTGTTAAGTGAATCGGTGCAGTTGATAAGCTAGTAACCTGGTCGTTAAGTGAATCTGGCTTCCCCATTGACTGTGCAAACGTTGCAAAAGGTGATCACATGACCCCAGGATGCCGTAATGGTCCTAAGTATGAACCAGGTTGCCAAGCATCTGAATTTTGATCACACGATCATGGGGATGTTACAATGGTCGTAGCTGTGAAAAAAAACCTCATCGGTCACTTTTTTTTCAGTGCTGTTCTAACTTTGAACAGTCACTAGATGAACTGTTGTAAATCGAGGACTACCTGTATTACTGAAGGGCTGTAGTTTTCTGCGTGCAATATTGTTTCTCCTGGTTCCGATTGGATCCTCTCCGTCTTTTCTCCAGATTCTTCACTATGATCTCTATGAAAAGCTCGTTGTGTATGATCCTCGCTTTGAAGATCTAGTGGTGTGGAATGGTACCAAGAAAATTGCAGATTTGCAGGATGTCTCCATTTTCATCCTGAACGTGACTTTCGAACACGCAGGGGAATACATCTGCAGTGTCAACCGCACACTCCATTTTGCCAATGAGTTCTCCTACAACATCATGATCAACAAAACTATCCACCTTGATGTGGTTGAAAAAGGTAAGCACAAAGCTGGAGTTCAAAGACTGTGGAGCAGGCAAGGGTACCTTAGCATGCTGTAGACGATTGGAGAGTTTAAACCTCAGATTACTTACGGACCAGAGCATCTTTTTAACCATCTTATTTTCCACGGCGTCCAATCTGGCAGTTTCAGAACTTATCCTAGTTCTCAAAGCTGACACTCCTACAGCAGGCAAAAGTAAGTCCAATGTGAGTGGAGTCAGAAGGAAGGGGTGGGTTCTTGCCTGCGTTCCACCAATGAGCATAACCAGAAGTAAGGATGGATGTAGCCAGAATCAAAAGAGAGAGAGCCACAGATAGACTAGGTATAATAGTTTGTTCTTAGATTGAGAAAAAAAATGTTATGTAGGCAGCCAGTTGCAAACTTCTCCATTGTCATTGAGAAGATCCAGTTCCTTGGTGGATCATAGAAAGCTGCTAAAAAGAGAAAATCCACACTTTAGAGAAATATCATTGAAATGCTGGAATTCTTGTAGCTCCATTCTGCTCGTCCAAGTAAATCAGGTTAAAGAGAACTCCCGAGAATAGTTACTGGAAAGAATCCCGTTGAGTTTTAGGAATGTGCCAGAGAGCCCCACAGTAAGTGTGTTCACCTCCAGATGAAACACGGTCATTCTTTGCCTGTGGTCCATGAGCCACAGTTTCCCAAAACCTCAGTATCCATTTCCATTCTAGCAAAAAGGGGCCCAGAGTAACCAATTTTAGCTAAACCTGGATGTCTGTACTTCACATAGCCCTATCTCTGTCTTCCCTTTTCATCCATAGCCAATCGGGATATGGCATCTATTGTCTCCGAAATCATGATGTATGTCCTCATTGTTGTCCTGACCATCTGGCTGGTAGCTGAGATGATCTATTGCTACAAGAAAATTGCTGCAGCAACAGAAGCAGCTGCTCAAGAAAATGCGTAAGGAGAATGGGTTAGGGCAGGAGAAGAAGCAAGGGGGAAACAATATGGGGGTTCCAAGTTCTAACTGTATTGAGTGGCTATTAGCTACCCAGTGCTATATAGTAACCCATGATGCTCTGGGATGAAGCTACCAATTGTGTATTTTGAGTACTGATGAGCAGCTCATACAGAAACCAGAATGCCCAAGTTGATGTTGACATCAAACATTGCTCCTGGCAGCTTCTATGGCACTAGGCATCAACCCAGCAAGGTAGACCAGACAAAGAAACCGATGTCATCTAGGTCATTGTAGTTGTTATTGTAACAAAAATGGTAACAGGTTCTTGCAAAATTGAATGTGCTTTCCTCTTCACTTTATCTTTGAGTAACTAGATAATTACTCAAACTAGTTTCTTAAGCCCCTCTTAACTGACTATTACTTGGCAGTGGCTTGTCCTCCTATTTTTCAAGGCCATTCCCTATGTCCTGTCCACTAAGGTTCTACACTGGGTAGGGCTGGGATGGGACAGTGGATAGTTAAGTAGGTATATACATTAGCAAAGGAAAATCTCTGGAGCACGTGTGGGAGGAGGAATGAACTTGTCCAGTGGGGGAGGGAGAAAGTATACTTGCTTTCTTTCCTAAGTTGTTGACAAAGCCAAGATGAATATTTTTTTATGTTTCATCATTATCACACTTAGCTGATTGATTCACTCTTTTCAAGGACAGACCTTTTCCTTTGTCGCTTGTGATTGCAAAAAGCATGTGATTTGAAAAAGCACGAGGTTCACTTCTCTTAAAATCGCTTCTGCATGCTCACAAGGAAGTTAAAGGAGCTTTGGTAGGCCTAAAACCTCTAGAAGGAATGGAGTCAAACTCAACTCCTGGAGACTTGATGGATCATGAATCCTGGCTTGACCATAAGCCCCACTCATTTTGCATCCTTGCCCTCTCTGTTGGGCTCTCCGGCTTTCCATAAATCAAGATGTCCTGCAACTATTACTCATCCTTCTATAAGGCTTATTCTGCTGCTTACAACCCTGATTGCCCCTCTTTTCATTCTTCTACCATGGCATCATGCAAGGAACTGGCTTGTCACTAGCTTTGTCCCCCTCCCAGGGAGGAGAGGGTGTTCTGGGTCTCCTCACTGAATCACTTGATTTTATTGGGGTACCAATAAAATACTGAAGGCTGGCTTAGCATTTGGTTGTGATGAAACTCCAGCAGTTACTGGAGTTCGTATATGTGTAAGGGAGGAGTGGGGGAACGTGAGCCCAGCTCCATTTCTGAAGTATGCTCACGTCTTTCTGTGTCCTAACAGTTCTGAATACTTGGCCATCACGTCGGAAAGTAAAGAAAACTGCACAGGGGTGCAGGTAGCTGAATAGCCCAGGCCAAGGCCGTTGGCGGGCACTGGGATTCCTGGTTTTTATAAGGTATGTTCATTATTGTTATTACCATCATCGTCATCATCTAAAATAAATGAATATCATACAGACAATCCTCAACTGTACAACTGTTCAAAGTTACGATGGAGTTTTAAAAAGCTATTTACAATCCACGCCCCGCCCCCCACCCCCCCGGTTGAACAGCAGGAAGGTGAAGTTTGACTTCACTCCCTTTCTTCTCCAGAAGAGGAAATTGCAACAGGTAAGAGAAGATACACCAGGCTAGGACAAGCAGCAGAGATGTCATTTGTGCCACGATGTCATAGTGTGTCAATGACGTTATCTCAGCAACCCTTTCCATGTCAATTCCACGAGGATATCATGACACTTGCGATGATCCTCCCCTTCAGAGGGCAAGGGGATAGAAGATTTTAGCAGCTGGTCCCCAATGACCCATGCCCCTTAGCAAGCGGTCCACTAATAACGACTCGTAGCACCAATATTGCAAAACTCCCCACTCCCAGGCCTCGGGGAGACTTCAGGTTTAATCTTAGGTTACCTGTTGCCATCAAGGTGATCTGATGCTGCATTATTCACAATTTTCCAGGGATGAGGCTTTGACAAGGAGTGGAGAAGAGGCAAAGTGACTCAGCAGAGCCATCAGCAGCAGCCCAGAGAAGAAGTGAGCTGGAGCCAAGCAGCCCCTCCCCCCCCACTGCACGGTCCTTTTCCTTAATGAAAGCATGCTATTTTTAATACCAGAGCTCTGTATCTAAGCCAGCCACTCAGAGACAGTCATGCATATTTTTCGGGGAAGGGTGGGGGTCTCCTGCCAGAGAGGACTTTCGCTCTTTCAGTCCCAGGTTATCACCTTTTGGAGTGGGAATTGCCCCTGCCATTAGCATGATGAGAACATAGCATGGTGGCTTGCTCACGTAATGCATAGCTTGAGGTTCTCTCCCACGGTGGGCCCCCCCCGGGCCGGCCAGAGGCCTCTTTCCTTTATGAGCACTTGCGCTTTCTGATGTTTTGCACATTTTTCGCGCTTCGAGTTCTTTCGGTTACTTCGCAACCAGCACTTTCGATGGGTCTGTGGAGAGGACCCCATCTTTCTCTCCTACGCCTCGAGATGGATCTGGACTTCTGAGTGGCCGCAGCCAGCAATGGGTTGAGTGAAGACCGGGTAGAAGACAACTACCCAATGGTTCCTAAGCCATGGAGGGAATGCTCGGATGCCAACCCTGTCCTAACTCTGTTGCGGAACGAACTCTCTGGGGCAGGTACGGATTGTGCCACCCGAAGGCCCGTTGCTAGCACAGGCGCCACCGTTCACTTAATTTTCTACCAAGGTTTCCTTCCAAGCTGGCTGGCTGGTAGGCAATGCAGGTATTGACGGTCTTTGCAAAGGAGAGACGCCTTGGAATAGAAATCTGATGGAGGAGGAGACTTTTGCTTCTCTCCCTCTGTCCCGGAGATGTGGGTTCTCACGTTGCCCTGTGTTGGGCTTTGGTGGCTGAGCTTGGCCTTGGAATTGGTGTAGACCAACCGTCACAGCAATGCCATCACCCCATTGTCGTCCTCCACATTTTCCCTTCCTGGATCCATTATTACCTTGCCAGGCCATTTTGGCTGTTTGGAGAATACTCTGACCTCTCCCCCCCCTGCTCAGATCCCCTCCCTCTGGGGCTGGTCCTAAGAACCAGCTGCCATCACAATAGAATAGGGTTTGTTCATAAATAAAGATGATTGAATTTCACCCGCTCTGGCTCGCCAGTGTCATTCCTAAGATCAATATGACGTGTGTCTAGAACATCTGGATGGGTCTAAGCAGGGGATGAAGAGATGCAGATTTTCAGTGGAAAGAGTGGGGAAGACAGGCCTTTCTTGATAGAGAAGCTCTTTGAATTCACCCCATCATAATTGACAGTTAAAAATTGGCTCCTTGCTTTAAACAATTTAACTCTGCTACGTACCAATGAATAAATAAAAAAAGAATCCTTGCCTTCCGGCAATAAAAATAGAGAATGGGAATAAGTAGCAGTTTTTCACCCAGCCAAAAATTCTTAGCCTGTTCTGTTTCAGAGGATCATCGGCATTTTAATGTGGGAGGGTGGGACCCATTCGCAAAAATAAAATTCAGGCGGGGGCTGCCAATTACTATCGCTAGGTTGGTTCTTGAGCTTTTGTAGTAGCATAGTGTAGTTCTGGCCCAGACAGATCAATAAGGTGGCTCGGCATCAAATACCTTTACAGACTCCGCAGAAGTTGATTATTAGAAGTTCTGGAGGTATGG